ATCAGCATGAATACAAAAAGGACATGTCTAAGAACTTGGCTCTTTCGTGTAGATCCCAGCAACCCCCAATATAATAAATTAAAAAGTATTGTGAACATGGCCAAAATGGTGTTTAAACTTAACACTTCCAAACTTATTAAAATAAAATTTAAAGTTAAACATTTCTACTACAATACTTTTTAAATTTTAAAAAATATTTAAAATTGAATATCCTCACAGCTTTACTAGTATTTACTAAGTATGTTTGACATTTTTCTGACCTGTCCAAATCATCCATTTTTCTGTCACATTTTATGCAGATTTATTTTTTACTACATCGTAGTTTACATTATTTGCATGAACATGACAGCTTAGCTTTTAGATTTAGGTTATGCAAAAAGAACACCGGGTGTTTTTAATATGTGTATGGTCACTGAGAGCTGTGCTCTTGTTTGTCTGGAGGAGGTTTTTGTATTTATGAGGGTTAGTGATGTTATAGATGCTGGCTTTGTGTTGCAGGGTGTGTTTCTCTGTTGTCCTTCTGGTAAGAGCGGGTGCTGTACAACAATAGCCCCCTTCATTACAGAGTTGCACTGATTTCTCGCCTCAGCTTGTGAATAATATTATAAGCGCAGGTCAGGAGGGTTCAGTTTTCAGTAGTAGAATAAACATACTATATTGTATATTCGGCAGGATTTTACTAGTGATAATAGGGTTGAAATCAATGCATGATTTTCTTAGGTTTCCCAAAAAGCGGGTCAGGTCAGGTGACAAGTTTTTTTTTTGGTCTTGTGCAACTCTCAGTGAAAATAAATGATGTCTGGTCATTTTGTGTGAACTCCCTTAAAAGCACTTCTTTAAAGTTCAGTAGTGAAATCAAATCAGTGGTAAGGGCCGTTCACACCAAAGATGATAACTATAACAATAAAGATATTCAAAGAATATCTAATATTCTAATATAAAAGTATAGCAGAGTCCACCCCACAATTATAACTTACAAATCCTGACTCAGAAAAGTTCACTGATTTCTCTGCATTTTTTTTTTTTTTTAATGTATTAAGATGTTTTCGTAAAAATATGTAGGTTATTTGTATTGTTATATTAGGGCAAACAGTAAAAGACAAATAATTCTTAGGGATACTCCGAGCGATCGGCCACAGATAGGTATCGGCCAATAATCACTTTAAATGACCTGATCGGTAGTCAGTAGGTTTATGGGGTGCAATATAACATGTATTTGTGGTTTTTCTTTTTTAAAAAGTTTTATTTAAAAAAAAAATAAATTTCACATTTATTGTCAGCCGCTTTCTCATCTGTCATTTGCACGACCGGTTTACATCCTGATACTATGAAACCACTCCCTCAGAAACAGGCAGTGGGCTCAGATTGGTTAGTTTGGGCCGGTGTGTTGTGATTGGCTAAACTGTAGCGCACGTTGTCCGGATACATCATGCCCATTACCTTTACGGGCAAAAGTTGCATATGTGTTCGTGTCAAATGTACATAATGCTGTCGAAACTGCAGTCTCAGTATGAGCCAGAATCAGACCCAGAAAGCGGAGAGAGTCAAGCAGAACTTCCCCAAACACGGCTCTTACAAAACGTTTCTGAATGGTAATTTTGCCTATATTTTTACTTTATACACGTTTGTTTTACACAATAGCATCAAACTGACTGGCTACTATATACCATAAAGTGTGTATGTATGTATATATATATATATACATGAAAAATATATTTACAAAATTCAGGTCCAAAATTCCCGGGTGAACATAACACACTCGACGAGCCGCAGAAATATGGCCTTGCCCTTTTTTGTATATTCCGAAGGGAGGGTTGATGCAAATGTATGGGTTAGTGACGTCTAAAACCCGTTGTAGTCCCATTCGAGTCGTTTTTAGGCATTAAACTTCCTGATTTTTAAATGAACTTTCACTGCTACAACTTTGCAGATAATGTTCATGCACCAACAGAAAACATTACACACTATTTAAAATGAAAAAAGTGAAATCGCAATCAACCACCCCTATAAAAACAGTAAAAAGTTTACTGATGAGGCACCACGTACTGCTTTGTAACTTTGAAAAACATTAATAAACCATAGTATAACACACAGATTTTTATTTAGAGCAGGTTGTATCGATTCAAACAAGCCCACACACAATATAACATTATGCATAGATCTTAAGAAAATCCTTACGGAGTGACATGACATGCTGCTTGGCTAAAGCTATAGGACTTTTTAGCTTAGCTTATAGCACTTTTTTCATCTTCTGGGATCCGATCGGGTCGCGGTCATTACACCGTGATATCCAACGTCATTTGAAAGTGCAGCCAATGAAAACTGGATCTTGGGTATGTTGGTATATTGAAAACTGGAGGCATGTATATTGGGTAGGGACAATGTGTTGTCTAATCTCAAAGTAAAACACTGTCTTACACCGACCTCATTTGGGTTGGATTGATCGTTCAGATTGACATATATACTTCTGGTGGAAGACCATCACTCATCAACCAAGATTTTCTTAGTTAGTTGTGACTCATTCTGAATATGTTTGTGTTTTGTGACGTAACATTTTAAGTCGTTCTTATGTTCATTAACACTCGGACACCACTGTATGTGTGTGTATATATATATATATATATATATATATAATATTAAATATAATATTAAATATAATATTATATAAATTTATAATATATATAATATAATATTATGTATATATTATTAAAAATATTAATATATATATATATATATATTCTATTTTATATTAAATTAAAATCTACTCTCTTACAAAAACACCCTTTGAGCTACTTAAATGTTATAGAAGAATATATTATGATACAATATACTGTACTGTGACAGTAAATACATTTATAATGTTAAGAAAGATTTATATTTCAAATAAATACTTTCCATTTGAAATTTCTAAACCAGTTATTTTAATTTGGTATAATATTTCAGTTTTTACTGTATTTTATTTATATGAAATAAATGCAACTTGGTGAGCATTTGTCTCAATGGACAGAGAACTTGTCTTTTTTTGGACAAAAGGTTGAAGGTTAAATGATTCTCATGTTTGGAAAGATGTTTGACACGTGTTGCTTTTTCAAATGCATGTTATAAGTGATTCAAACTTGGTGATCTTAGATGAAGCAGCGTTTACAGAGCCATGACAAGCTGCGCAAAAAATCACGATTAGCCAAATCGCTTTAAGTGCGATTACGTGGATATTGCGATAAGTCGTATCAGTATATTGGATCTGTGCATTTTGTCTTAAATGACTGGACTAAAATGATAAAATCACTCTCTGCTTTTGACCGAATTACTTAGTTTTAATAAGATTCACAGCTAGTTTAATTCTAACAGTGAAGACTATGCTGTGTTTTATTTTACGTTTGATTTTTACATTTCTGCAGTAGGTTGTTAGCTGAATATTTATAGACTTGCATGAAAAAAAAAATTAAGTTTGTTTAATTTTTATCATTTTTCTATTGTGATTGTACTTTCCTTTTTTTATTTTCAGTATTTTTTGAGGACAGTTGTACTTGAAAATTTGAAATCGGTTAAATGAAGGTTTTGGTCATACGGTCCACTCATCATGTTAAATAATCGTGATTACATTGCTGACCAAAAGTTTTGCCATAATTGAGCAGCCCTACAACTTTTATACAGTAACAGGATCATCGCCACAGCTGTTAAACTGCAGGTCAATAGTTCTAACTTACTCGCCGTTTAGTCAAACATACATAGACTCTCTCTTTATCCGTCCCACTCCCATTTTCAGTCTCTGTCCTCCAGTTTGCTGTCTCAGAGCCAGTTATTCATCCACAGAGTGAGTCAGGGTGGGAGGGACTAGGAGGCCAGCCGTACCAGTCACACCGTCATTTCTCTAACACACACACTTATACTCTGTCTCTTTCCTTCCACTACTCCTTCTCTTTTCCTGCCCCTCTCTCTCTCTCTGTCCCTCTCTCTCCACTACCGCTGTCCTGGTTTCTGTCTCTATCAGCAGTGAGAGGGCAGACGCCGAAGGAGAAGATAAGCGTTGGGCTGCCAGCACTGATCAGGAATCTCAGAGGAGGCAGGAGTTTGTAAGGTGAGCCGTTCGTTTTGTTTAGACTTTTTCCATAAGTCCTTTTCCTGCCCTTCCTACGCAGACTGCTTTTAATTATTATAAAGTGTGTTAAAGTGGAGATGTCGCCTCTCCAAACAGCTTTTATACTGTGATTCTTCTCTTCCGTTTATTATTAACTCTAAACGTGTTCAGTTTTTCCGCCCAATGATTCACTCACAGGATGCCTGTTGCCGCAGCCCGTGTGTAACCCCACCCTTACCATTCACTCTCCCGGCAGCTAACTGTCGCTCGAGCTTCACTTTTGAGCGCTTAAAACTTTCCCTATTGCCCTTAAATGGAAGTGTTACCTTGAAGTGCACTTGTTTTGGAGTCGTATTCTTTGCTCAAAGAGTGATTTGTGCTCTACTGTCTAGGAAAGGTAAGAGATTATTCAGTTAATAGTGATTTTCTGCTGTCTTTAGATGTCTTTTTCTGCCTGTGGCGTTTGACCTGATGAGATCTGGTCACATGACAGGCGGGCTGAGAGCAGGGTGGTTCCTCGTCTCTGCTAGCAACCGTGTCATTTTACGCCTGCCCGCTAATTCTCACAGAGCAGACTTAAAGGGCCGGATGTGGCTTATGTTTTCCTTATGTTGAGAGATGGAGAGAGGGAGGGAGTGGGGGAAGTGTGATAGAGTAGAAGTGGAAGAGGGACTAGACCTCTGTGATACTAAATGCTAACATACGATGTAATGATTTATTTTTCCATTTAAAGAGCTTTGATGAGGGTGTTGATACCATAAATGGTCATTGTGTTAGTCTGTTTTCCTGTCTAATCTTTCGACTTTGGAGACCAATGCTGCATTGTTATGTTCAGGTTTGACTTTCACTCAATGACTAGCTGATTATAATCTGATTTTATTGACTGTTATGTATTCAGGTTCAGTACAGAATGACAATCAGTTTGAGAGGTGGTCTATTAGCTGAAGGACACTGCTCATTTCTGAAGTGAAACCCTTTAAAGCTACACTGTGTAACTCTTTTAGTTTATTCTTAGCTAAAAACACTTAGTTCTTTCAAAAATATATGTGCTCATTAATGTATATCTACTTCGTTCAAGTAATAAAGTATTCTCGTGAGTGTATAATATGCCATTGAAAATGCATACGGGTAAGGGGTTCTAATGTCGGTCGCCATGTTGCCCCTCCATCTTGAATGTACAGTAGCCAAAGTGGGACATACCCGTTAATTCAAGCTTCGCCTTTCGCGTTTACGTTTGAGTTAACACTCATGGACGAGGTCAAACTGGAAGCAATGTTAATCTTGGACTACATTGGCCACCGTAGGAGTTAAAACGAAATCGGAATTGAGAGGAACAGAAACTAATATTCACTGGATGGTCATATACATTTTCACAGCTAGATGGGGGTAAAAATCACACAGTGTAGCTTTAAGAATGTGTCTGGGTCATATTTCAATTTAAAAAAAGTCAAAATATAAATTATTAAATAATCACTTAAAGTTTATTAAAAATCACTTAATAATTACCTAAAGAAAATTAAGCATGTTAGGGCTGTAAGATGTTTGGTCATTATTTCCATTACAATTAAATTTGCACATTATCGTAATGGAAAAATCTCATTATTGTTACTACTAGGGGTGTTAAGAAGATCCACTATATTGAATATTTTAGCACTTTTTAAGAAATGTTCAATGACAAATTATATGACTGGAAAATAGTCACAAAATGCAGTAATTTAGGTGCATATTGAAATGTTTTAACTAATCTAGGGCTGTCACTAATGATTATTTGAGTAATCAATCGAATGTTCAGATGAGTAATCGAGTAATTGGTTCTTTTTTGTGTGTGTGGAAATAAAAATAGACCCAAGTAAACCATAGCTTTCAAAATGATAATAAGAAAATAATAATGGGTTCAAATAAAGTAATCATTATAAACACTGTTAAAATACATGTAATGTACATTACATAATATGAACATAATCAGCTTTAGTACATTATGCATTATAACAAATGCCTGCAGAAGGGTGCCAATTGTCTGGTGATTGTTGTTACACCTGACAGCACGATCAAATCCTTGTTTAATATTGGCCAAACAATATTTGCTACAAATGCTACAGCCACTGTAATTTATTAAAACAATGATATTTGGGCATCATGCAAACTCAGAGTGAAGGTTTAAACCTTTATTTGTAAATCTCAATGAACAATGTGCATATTTAGAAACGTATTGATGTAGGCTAAAAAATCACATTGACACCTTTTACAGAAGTCTTAAACTCACTAACTTTTTCTTCTGTAAATTAGAGGTTTACTAATGGCTCGTTTCCACTGACCGGTACGGTACGCAATTATTTGCGTTTCCACTGTCAAAAGTTGTGAATGGTACCAAAAAGCCAAAACGCACTGTACCACTTTTTGGGTAACTTTCCGTTGGGGTACCTAGCACAGTGGTACGGTACTAAAAGGTGGAGCTAGACTCACTGCAGAACGGTGATTGGTTAACAGAATACGTCACTTGCGCATGCTACATTAGAAGCGCCACTTTTTAATATACAGTTGAAATATAATACTGTTGAGTCACGAAATGTAGTTTTAAGATTTTTTCAGGCCAGAAAGTAGTTTTTTAAAGCTCAAATCTGTGGTTTATTTATAGATTTATGATAATTTGACGCTCGTGTCCACCGCCTGGAACAGCCTTTCCTCAGCTAGTCGTTCTTATGTTTGCTGCTGACTCTGATGTCTCTGTAGTGGTTAAACATGAGATAAAATTCGTCTTGTATAGACCTAACAGGCGATCTTTGGTCTCGGGAATCTATAATTCGTTCCCTGGCCAATAATTTTGACAGAAGGCAAAGTGAATTTTTATATATTTGAGCGCTGAATTTATATATTTGACTGAATTGTTTGCTTTATGTTATAGCTTTTTGTACCTTTTACTTATACTTTCATAATGGCTATTATTGATAAAACAGAAATTTAAGAAAAAAAGATTTTGTAATTTTTTATTTTATTACAAGATCCTCTGTAATGTTGTTTATTGCAACATTTGTACCAATGCAATATGGAATATGTTTAATATTTTTAAATTTAAACGAAAAGAGGCAAGGTTGTGTTTTATATTTAGTTTTGATATAAATATATAACGTTACATGCAGTGAATATAATCAATAGGCTATGCGTTGCCTGAACCACATTTGTGTGCTTATAATGTTTAAAATGTATTTAAATGAAATCGAAAAGAAGCAGTGTGTTGTTTTATAACATATTTAGTTTTATTGTTGCCTAAAATGTACATTCAGAGATAACCGGAGTAGCAGAGTGAGCTGAGTGGTGCGTTCAAGAACGCGCTCTTCCATTAACAGAATTACTGGACTCGCGGACATCCGGACATTCTCCTGAGTTGGACTTTGCGTAGGCTACGTGGTATTGAGAAACGCCTAATGCCAGCGATTGTTTCTTTTTACAAGATCTGCTGTATGTTATCCATTGTTGTTTACTATGTCGCTTTCTTCGTGCGAAAATGGCGTTGATCAATTCTTTCCGCTAAACATCACACTTATCAAGTAAGGGTACTGTTGGCGGTGGAAACGCAAGCCGGATCATGGTTTACCGACCTGAACCGTTCTGTACTGTACCGTAGCGTACCGCTCAGTGGAAACGAGCCATAATCTCATTGGCACGGACTCGTAGTGTTGTCGTTCTGAAGTGTGCATCCCTTCCAAGAAGTGTAAAGTTTCATCAGGACAGTCAATCCAGAGGCAAATCCAAATACAACCCACTGAGACATAAACACCAATTAGACCTGGTCAAGTCAAAGCCCTTTTGTGTGTATAGATGTGGCTTCCATGAGTTTCCACTGTTGGAGAATTTAGTTCCTGAGGCATGTGCTCCATCAGCCATGCCAAAACCTCACAATACATCCACACAGCCATTCACAATCCTGAGACGACTTACAGATGCCTCTCATATCTTGCACAATTAGATTTCCCCCACACTGGCAACCGTGATCAGACACTGCTTGCATTCAGGTTTTTATAAACACAGGGTTCAAATGTACAAGACCACACTGGCCTATTTACATTTAGCCACTTCATGCGTTTTTATTGAGTGTACACGATGATGACATCACTTTCTGTGTTCAAAAACTAGTTTCCGTTCATCTGATCCTTAAAGGGATACTTCACCTCTGGAAAGATGAATGTGTATTTAAAATGGGTCAATTATGAAGAAGAAATGTGAAATTATTTTTGAATTTGGAGCTTTCTAGACTGAGAAAAGCCAGAAAATGTATTTTAGGCTTATGTGGATGAAAGACAACAACTCCCAGAATGCACTTGCTTCGCTGCCCTTGGAGGCCACGCCTACCGGAAACAGAGCGCAGTAGTTAAACAACAAGTCTAGGCTACTATTAAGTCTCCATGTTGAGTCTGTCCAGGATTTTGAGATCGCACAAAATTTCCGGGATTCGGTTTTTGCATTCTACAGTCGCCATTCATTATGTTTACTTTGGCAAGAAGGACGAGACTAGGACCGCGGGAGAATGTGTGAGGCGGGTGGCGTGATTATTACTGATGAGCGACACCTGTGAGACGCACCGGTCTCGTATCTCTCACGAAGGAGCGGGAATTTTCTTAGCGATGTTAAAACGCACATCAGCGATCACTTGTTTAGCGTTCATGTAAACTTTACATTCAGATTCAACAATCAGAATGAATTCAGTTAGATTGAAACAAAAGGTGTGCATGTAAACAATAAATGGTGACTGCAGAAAGCAAAAGCTTAATCCAGGACATTTCAACAGCCAGATATGACCAGGAAAGGAGGACTGTAACCCCTACAACTCAGCTTTCTCCACAGAACAAGAGCCTGCTAGCTTAGCTTCCAAAAAAAGATGGCTGACACTATGTGTTCATTCTGTGAGTGAGATCCCACCCTCTATGGGCGGGTTGAGAACATGCGGGACAGCCCCTACTACTAACCAAGGGGGTAATCCATCAGCCGGAAGTTGAAGCCGCCGTTGTAGCAGAACTTCACCTGCTGTTAGCATCCCATTGACTCCCATTTATTTTGGCGTCACTTTGACAGCGAATAACTTTACATCTGAGGCGTCCAAAGACTCCATTTGTCTATTATTTATTTCTAAAGAAACACGGCAATGAATAAAAGGCTCCATTACCTTGTATCTTACGTTATTGCTTGTGAAAGTAGTTTTTGTAAAAATAGGCTAACAATTGCATCATAACGAAACGACTCTCTGTCGCACAGAAGAGAAATTACCGTATAGACAGGAGGAGAAGCTCACTGGCAATCGGCGGGACGTGGAGGCATAGAAGTCCGATAAAGTCGAGGGAGAAGCCCATAGAGAGTCATAAAGTTGATCCTGCTGTTTGCTCATGGACCGCTAATACTCACTCTCTACATCTCTGTGAGATTCGGAAGGGAGCTATTCAGATTTCACTCGGCACAACTAACAGAAGACGTACAGGTTGCTCACGTGGCAGGCTCAGCTTTTAACAGGCTTCAATTTTCTCAGTTGAAATCAATGGGGTCGCTGTGTCCATTTCTTTTACTGTCTATCTATGCTACTGACTGTAGTCCCTCCATACAAAAAAACATAAATCTCTCGTCTCAGGGGGTTATGAGGGTGGAAAGCACCTTAATTTGAAAATACTACAGGTTTCCTACTACTAATACAAAGCTTAATGCTAAATCCTGAAGTATCCCTTTAAAGGATCTCCCTACATAACAAGATTGTGCAAGTTCATGTGAACTGAATGGTCAACCTCTATCACACCTGGCTGGATGAAGGCTTTTTTTTTCTGAGAAACTCCTGCTAATTCTTGATTATTGTGAAAACTTCAATGAGCTCTTTCCTATGAATTTATATTGTGCAAAGTCTGAAAGGAAGGAATATTTCTGATAACTGTCGGTCAGTTCACATGCATTTGTGTGTACGTTCAAGATGTGTTTCCTTTTGCTAAAGTCAGTGTTGCACTTATCTTATCTCAGGTCTCCTGACTTCCACTTGCTGGTCAATATGATGCAGTAGTTTGAATTCTTAGATTTTACTCACAACGCAGGAATTTTATCACCTTTTTACAATCACACAGTCTCCGTGAAGCGATAGCGACCAGAAAGTGGTTGAACCTGAAGGCCAGTGTGCGTTTCCTATGAACATCTCTGTGTGCTGACGTAACATGGTCCATGATTCTGATCAGTCCTTCGGTCTGTGAATGTTCCTGCTAGCCCATAGGGATCTACACTGAGAATATGTGAGAAAACCAGTCTGGGTTTGTCAGTTTTCACTCTGAACTTGCCATTTAAGAGACGTTTCCATCGTTGCTATAGAGCAGAAATTGGGTGCCGGGGAACTGGCAGACCTGTTTGTTCATGTGAGTGGAGCCCTTGGAAGGTAAAGATAGCATTTATTGACCCTTTATACATTGTTCCCTCTAGTTGCTACAATTGCCCTTTAGATGAAGTCATTATTTTTGACAAATGAGAGCCAGTCAGTGTGTGTGTGTGTGTGTGTGTGTATGTTATCAGAAGGACAGTGGAGTCGTTGGGTCATATATTTCCTAGCTGATACGGGCACATAATTTTATCAAGGCTGTAAATGAGTAATTTACTGCTAATCTTATCTAAATATACGGTTATAAAAAAATATATCCTCATACATGACTACTGAATGAGTCAGTGGATTACATTTGGCTGTAGTTTTGAGTGACACTTTTTTTGTATAGTTCATATAAATACAATATCTGTTTGAATGCACATATATCTATAGAATTAATTTTATAATATATCTGTTATATTTGCGTATAACCACGCCTAAACTTAACTTTTTGCCACACCTGCCAATGGCTGGTGATTAAAGAAAATGTTTTACCATGTTCAACTGTTTTTGCCAAATTCACAATTCTCTAATTTTTATTAAACATTATTAATGACATATGAACAGTCAGTACAAACGTAATTGTGTTTTTTTTCCTTAACGTTCACTCAAGACAACCAACTATGTTTAATAGAATACATTTTGTGAATTTGTACTTTAAAGCGCAAGATGTGAGAGAGAGGACTCAATTGAATATACTGTACCAGGCGTGTGTGTGTGTGTGTGTGTGTGTGTGTGTGTGTGTGTGTGTGTATGTATATATATATATATATATATGTGTGTGTGTGTGTGTGTGTGTGTAAATATATATAAATATATAAATACATATATATATTTATTTATTTATATAATTTTTTATTTATATATATATATATATATTATATTTATATCATATACTGTAGACCATTTCACAAGATGTAAACAACACTGGTCCAGAAGCACTTCCTGTTTCAGTCTGTAACTGTTTTCTTTATTTCACATGTAAAGAAAACATCTTAAAGATGTTTGTTTAACTTTTTGTTTCAGTTTTAAATGTTCTGTTGGTTGTATTTTATCCCAGCTTTTTGTAGTGTTAAAAAACTGAAACAGGAAGTGCTTCTGGACCAGTGTTGTTTACATCTTGTAAAATGGTCTATAATAAGATGCCCATTCAATGCAGTAGAGCCGTGTTAAAGCTGAAGTCTGTAACTTTTGGCACTTTAGCGGTTAATATGCATACGTCTTGCGGAAGAACTTTGAAGCCGTTACTGCCTCTCTCTGTTTGTCTATGACGAGTCACGCAGGGACTGGGTAGCGGGAGTTTGCTGTAGTGTTTTCTGTACAGTCTTTGTACAGTCTTTCCTCCCAGCTTTCTTTAGGAAGTTCTTTGTTTTATTGAAAAGAAAGACTTCAAACTAAAGTGTGCGACACACCTGAATTTTTCCAGTGTTTACCCAGAGTTCAGTTGGGACGATTAGATCTGTGATAAGATCAGACTCCGCTTTCTTTTCTCTCTGTGTAGTCAGCTGTAGAATCCATTAATGTTTATTGTGTCAAAGCTCAAACATTGACACATTCATGGTGGAGGTGACCGAGCGTTTTATGAAGGTTATAATGAGGAAAGCATTACATCACTTGTACCGTTCCACTCCCTCCTGTGGCCACACCTCCCAACATCAGACCAAGAGGGAAAAGAAATGCATGAAGGTAAAGAGGCAGATGGAAAGTGACAATGAAATTTGGGAAAAAAATTTTATGAAATATTTTGCATTCCAACTGTTTTAGGTGATTCTTTCTGATCAATACATGTCATTTTTTATGAACTCTTGTAGATGTGGAGTAAGTGTTTCTGTAATTCACATTTGTAAAAGACAAATTCAATGCAGGATCTGGCTAGACACGAGATGAACATCACATGTTTCCAGCGTGTGGTTCAAGGTCTTTCATTTTAACTGGCTCAGCTGTTGGTCACCTGATCCAGTGAATTCATTCCATCCCTCACAAACACTAACTGCATTTTCTGTTTGGCATTTGACTCAATAAAACTAAATGGTAGAAAACTCTGCGTGGAGATCAAGTACTGACTGAGGAATCTGCTCTCGTGCATGTTTTCTGCCACATGACATTATACTCTGAACTGACAACATCTCTGTTTGCCCTCACAGGTGCTTTTGTGTAGTCAAACGTGAAGCTGACGTCAGTGAAAATGCTGGAGATGGTGAAAGACAGAGTACTGGAGGTCTATGACAGCCTCTTAGCAGGAACAGGTAAAAATGCATCTTCATGAAATGTAAACTTGGATACATTAAGTAGTCGTGAATCTGGATTGGTTCTATTCAGATTAATGGTAAACCGATGTGACTTTTTCAATGGATGATCTTGTATTAGCTAGTATATCAGGGATGCATACTTATATTAGTTTTGTATTTACTGTTGTTCTATAAAATAAAATTATGCTTATTTTTTTTTATTATTTTCTTAAAGTCCACCTGTAGTCAATAATTTTATCCCTTAAAACCCCCAAAATGACATATTTAAAAGTTTTCTTCATGCCTTAAAATAGCTTGAATGTAACTCTACACCCTTGCCTTGTGGTTCTATGAGTATGCAAATTATCCCCGCCTCCACTCACTCACACCAGCTCAGAGATCCACTTGTCGACGTTCACACGTTCCGTGATCAGTTACAAGGTAGTTTGTGACATCAGAAACACCAGCGGTTTCAAACCGTGTTTTTTAAACTGTCTTTGGTTCACTGTAGTTTTAAGGAGAAAATACTCACCAATGGTGTTGAATTTACACATGGTTTGTCTTAAAGTATGTTAAAAACACCACATAGACATATAAACAACAATAAAAACTTTCTTTTTACCACACAGGGGGACTTTAAATTTAATAAAATAGATGTGTAGTAGTACTTGTAGGTTAAAGCTACAATGTGTAACTCTTTTAGTTTATTCTTAGCTAAAAACACTTAGTTCTTTCAAAAATATATGTGCTCATTAATGTATATTTACTTCGTTCAAGTAATAAAGTATTCTCGTGAGTGTATAATATGCCATTGAAAATACATACGGGTAAGGGGTTCTAATGTCGGTCGCCATGTTGCCCCTCCATCTTGAAAGTACAGTAGCCAAAGAGGGACATACCCGTTAATTCAAGCTTCGCCTTTCGCGTTTGAGTTAACACTCATGGACGAGGTCGAACTGGAAGCCATGCTAATCTTGGACTACATTGGCCACCGTAGGAGTTAAAACGAAATTGGAATCGGGAGGAACAGGAATTGGGAGGATTTTTTTTAAATGTACCTCTGATAAGTTTGCATATATACAATACAATTTGATAACAACAAATGCTAGCTGAAATGGCTATTAAAATTGCAACAAGATTGCCATTTTGTTCAACAAGATTTCTAAACTGTTTCTCTGCCATGATATTAGTTGATGGGAAAGTGAAATTGACTGTAGTAGAAGCAACAAAGTGTTATGAGTTGTGGTCTGGGAAATTTGTTTGTTTTGAAAGTGAGTACACAAAATAACTGAAATTGATCTTTATATTACACAATATACTCAATTTACTGTCAGAAGAATGTCAGTTACTTAAGTCAGAAACAGTTTATTATGCATTTACAAGGCTGTCAATAGATTTTTTTTTTTTTTAGACTGATACAAGGAAGCTAAAATTGAATTGCTAAAGCTAAAACACTGGCCTGGTCGATACATTTCTCCATCACTAATTCATAACTGTCAAGTCTTTTTGGAGAAACCGTTGTCATCCAATTATAAAATTTGAATAAAATGTAGTTGATTTTTGTGTGTGAAATCTCTGTTAAGCTGTTGCTCTATGTAAAAAAACTGTCTTTCTGTGTCTCTCTCCTTCTAGACCCACGGTTGAAGGATTACCCCCTAATGGGGACTCCAGTCAACATGTCTGCTATTCTACTTGCTTATCTTTTCTTCGTACTGTACGCCGGGCCCAAGTTTATGGCCAACCGTAAACCCTTCCAGTTGAAAGAAGCTATGATCATTTACAACTTGTCCTTGGTTGTCCTGTCTGCGTATATCGTGTATGAGGTGAGAATCAGGAGATATTCATTCTGCTAGGTGGCGTGACTTGCGCAGATGTGTTTGAACTTGAATACACGTTTGTTTTTCTGTATTGACACATAGAGAGGCGTGTTGTATATTTAATCCATTATGGAGACGCTATACTGTTTTTGAATTGCTGCTCATAACCAGTTCCTGAAGATGAATTCATATACTGTTTAACCTTTACTTGATATGTAGTTCATGATGTCGGGGTGGGCAACAGGATACACGTGGAGATGTGACCCATGTGATTATTCAGACAGCCCTCAAGGACTCCGAGTAAGTTTGCTTTTTATACCCTGTAATATACTCAAATATTATTATCTCCATATTAAAGATGTCTTTTTTTTCCCCCTAGATGACAAGAGTCGCCTGGTTATTCCTGTTTTCGAAGTTCATTGAGCTTATGGACACGGTAAGATTTAAATGCGCTACTCCAAAACTTCTGATTTCTGAAAAGCGTGTTGGTTCATGTATTGATGAATGACGTATTATTCTCAGGTGTTTTTTGTGCTGCGCAAGAAACACAGTCAGATCACCTTCCTGCACATCTTCCATCATTCCTTCATGCCCTGGACGTGGTGGTGGGGCGTGAGCTATGCACCAGGTGAGTCATTCTTCCTTCCCATCTGGGTCAGTCAGCAGATATTTACATGACGTTTCAGTTGAAATCTTGTTAATGGACTATTCCAGTCAGACATGCTTTTCAACAAGCCAGGAACTTTTGCATCTTCTAATGGTTTTTTGGTAATGAAGCTCTTGGGAGTGTGTTGTTGAACTGCTTTAGCATATGTGACTCACATTGCAGGTGGAATGGGCTCCTTCCATGCCATGATCAACTCCTGTGTCCATGTGATCATGTACTCCTACTACGGCCTTTCTGCTGCCGGGCCTCGCTTCCAGAAGTTCCTCTGGTGGAAGAAATACATGACTGCAATTCAGCTGGTATGTTTACTCGATTTGTAGAGCAGTATAAAACTCGCCTGTGTGGATGTTGAAGGGATCGTTCACCCTGAAATTCGTCATTATTTATTAACCTTTACACAAAACGCCAAAACACAAAACTCCATGAGTTTCAAGCTTCAAAATGGACCAAAAAGGCCATAAAGGTGGTCTATTCAACTTATTCCAAGGCTTCCGACGTTGTGAGAAACAAACAGAAGTTGAAGTAATTATTCACTGATAATCCACTCAAGTGAGTTGAGGTCTGAGATCGAAGAATCTGATTCAGGAAAGAATCGTTCTTTTTAGTGAATCGGTTGATCCAATTTACAAATTCAGTCACTGGATCAGGGGAGTGAAGGAGTTTAATTCTGTCATCGTTTACTCACCCTCAAGTTGTTTCAAACCTGTATGAATATCTTTCTTCTGCTGAACACAAAAGAAGATATTTTGAAGAATATGGGTAACTGAGCAGTTGATGGGGCCCATGGAGGGAAAAAAATACTGTGGACGTCAAATAGGGCCCATCAACTGTTTGGTTACTGACATTCTTTAAAATATCTTCTTTTGTGTTCAGCAGAAGAAATAAATTCATACTGGTTTGAAACAAACTGAGAGTGTGTAAATAATTAGACAATTTTCATTTTTGGGTGACCTATCCCTTTAAAGGGGAGTAAATTATGACAGATTTCATTTGAGTAAAATAACCCTTTAAATTTTACAATGACTGTTTCTGACATTTTAAAAGATAATTGTGACTTCTTTCTTGCAATTGCGAGTTTATATTTCACAGTTTTGAGAAAAGAAGTCAGAATTGATTTTTCACAATTCTTACTTCTCAACAATTGCGAGAAAAGGTCAGAATTGTGAGATTAAATGAGTAGTTCACTTTAAAAAATAATAATTTACTCATCCCCATGTCAACCAAGATGTCCATGTCATTCTTTCTTCAGTCGAAAAGAAATGAAGGTTTTTGATGAAAACATTCCAGGATTTTCTCCATATAATGGACTTCAGTGGGAACCAAACGATTCAAGGTCCAAAAGACACTTTCAGTGCAAACTGCTCAAAGGGCTTTAAACGATTCCAGACAATGAATAAGGGTCTTATCAAGCGAAACGATCGCTCATTTTTTAAAGTTTTATAAGCTTAAATGGTCGCCTTGCTCTGTTCTGTGATGCGCGTTCATGACTCTCCGGTTCGAACTCGTTTATCAAAATGAACAAATCTTTTTTCGTGTCATTTGGTTCATTCAACAAACAAAATGAACAAATTTACCTGTAAAAAGATTTGTTCATTTTGATGAACGAGTTCGAACAGGAGTCACGAACGCGCGTCACAGAACAGAGCAAGGCGAGCATTTGAGCTTATAAAACTTAAACTTTATTTTTTTTTTTAAATGAGCGATCGTTTCGCTTGATAAGACCCTTATTCATCGTCTGGAATTGTTTAAAGCCCTTTGAATAGTTTGCACTGAAACTGTCATTTGGACCTTGAACCGTTTGGTTCCCATTGAAGTCTATTATATGGAGAAAATCCTGGAATGTTTTCATCAAAAACCTTGATTTCTTTTCGACTGAAGAAACAAAGACATGGACATCATATAAAAGCTACTCCTTTAAATAGTCGCAATATTTTTTTTTATTCTGTGGTGAAACAAGCTTTGATAACTCTGAACAGGTGTTGTTTGGAAAGAGCTGCATTAATATTACACATTTAATTTTGTTTTCCACAAACTATCCCCAAAACTCAGACTTCCTTACTCTTCTCAACAGATTCAGTTTGTGTTGGTGTCTCTTCATGTAACCCAGTGGTACTTCATGGAGAGCTGCGACTACCAGGTGCCTCTGTTCATTCATCTCATCTGGATGTACGGGACCTTCTTCTTCGTGCTATTCTCGAACTTCTGGTACCAGGCGTACGTGAAGGGCAGGAGGCTACCGAAGAACACCCAACAGCTCACCCAGAACGGCAAGGCTAATGGATCCACCACCACAGTGGCCAACGGCTCGTCGCTAGTTTCAAACGGCCATGGCGTACATGCAAACGGCCAGAGCAACGGGAAGAAGCACCATGAGAACGGAAGCACTCTCAACGGCAAGATGAAGAATGCCTGAGAAGCTGAGCTCAGGAGAAGACCCAAAACGGATGACCAGGAGAACCTGCAGAATGGCACTATGGAGTCCAAAGAGTGTTTTGGGACCTTTCATTTTCAAATCTTGTTGTTTTTTTATGTGTACATTAAATAAGTACATACATGGGGGTATGAATGCCTTTAACCCCATTTGTATATTTTTTGTCATAAATTAATCTAAAAAAATAATTATTGAGTAAAATGTATGAAGAGAAGAGGAAAAGGTCCTGACTTGATGCATCCTTCGCTGATGTTGCTCAACAGAACGAATTCACAGATGCCCCCCCCCACACACACAGATCTGTGTGTCTTTCATACTCCCCCCAATAGCAGACACTGTACAGTCAACATCAGTAAACTTGAATTACATCTGTAAATAGTTTTACCTATTGAAACTAACCCCGTTGAGACTAACGGGATTGATACGTTACGTTAAATATTGTTACTATTGAAATAAATACAAAAAATAAATCATTTCCATTTTAAAATACAGTTATCTGTTTATTTCATGTAAGTTATGCTGTTCAATGGCACATTGTAGTTCCTCCTCCAATAAAATCCGTGCAGGTCAAAGAGATTTGACCTACAATTCCAGCTGACATTCCCACATGGTATTTGGCATCTCCAAAGCAAAGGATTGACATATTAAAATACTTTTTGTATAACATTTTGTCATCTACAAGATTGCAGGTGTTCACGCTCGCGTTTTAGGATTCATCAGCCATTCGGTCGGCTTCCATCGGATGTGGTTTATGAAGAAACGCAGTGTGTGTGCATGCCGCACTTCTTCATAATCTGCGTCTGTCATCTCGAGTATGTGCAGCATGTTGGATGTAAACAAAAAGTCCATTCAGTTCCTGAAAAGCAACAGAGGAAGACCAGATGGGCAAGCGTCCTACGCCGTATGTGTGCGAGGGAGAAGAGGTCGTGTGGGAACAAATGACTTCAAGCTCACAGTGCACGAGAGTTTGTGCGTATAGTTTGCACTCCTGTTTATCCAAGCTTCGCCTTTGTTTGGCTAAATTCCTTTCGTCTTTTTTTTTTCCCAGCAGGTGTGCGTTAATGTAGGGCAGAGTTCAGGGCGCTCCTCTCGGCAAGTTGGGAGAAGAGGGCGTTTACATGGGATTTGTACAGTGACTCAGAAGGATGTCATCCTCATGCCTATTTCGTGAATCGTCACAGCTACAATGAGTTCTACATGTGGAAGACTGAAGAAACCACGTCTCTCTCTCCAATATCAGGTCATGCTAATAAAAGTCATTTGCTCAAGAATCATGTTTTATGTCACACTTTGGTCCTCGTTTACCAGAATCTGGCCTTGGGTTTCTTTTTTTTTTTTCTCTAACCAAACCAAGGTCTCTAGGAGGAGTCCAGACTACAGAATAAACTACAGACAGCTACTTCGATTTGTCACAGATGATCCGTGGGTGATGACTAGAGGTCGACCGACAATAGGTTTTGCTGATAACTAAGAAATCAATGTTTAAAGGAAATTTTTTTTTAATCGGATGAATGAATGCGAACATCTTTAACCAGTATAATTACTGACTGGTTGAAGTCAGTACTGTTAATACTGAAGTTAATAAAGTTGCAATAATTAGTAAAAAGATTTAAATGTGATTTTGAGGACTAAAGTCATAACTACAAGAAGGTTGCTACTGTGAGATAGAAAGTCACGATTAAGAAAAATAGTTGCAATAGTGAGATATGAGGTCGCAGTTACTTTTACTGTGAATAGAAATTGGCACAATTATGAGAAATGCCGCAATTACGAGAAATATAGTCGCACACGAAAGCTATAAAGTTACAACAGCAAAATCAAGCGACAAATAGATGCAAAGGTGTAAAATGAGGCCACAATTATGAGTAGTTCACTTTAAAAAAAACTTTTGCTGATAATTTACTCACCCCCATGTCATCCAAGATATCCATGTCTTTCTTTCTTAAGTCGAAAAGAAATTAAGGTTTTTGATGAAAACATTGCAGGATTTTTCTCCATATAATGGACTTGAATGGGAACCAAACGGTTCAAGATCCAAAAGACAGTTTCAGTGCAAACTGTTGAAAGGGCTTTAAACGATTTCAGATGATGAATAAGGGTCTTATCAAGTGAAACGATCGCTCATTTAATAAATAAATAAAGTTTCAAATGGTCAATTGTCAACTTGCTGTTCTGTGATGCGCGTTCGTGACTCTCCTGTTCGAACTTGTTCATCAAAATGAACGAATCTTTTTTCGTGTCATTTGGTTCATTCAACAAACGAAATGAACGAGTTGACTTGTGAAAAGATTTGTTCATTTTGAAAACGAGTTCGAACAGGAGAGTCACGAACGCGCATCACAGAACAGAGCAAGGCGACCATTTGAGCTTATAAAACTTAAACTTTTTTTTTTTTTTTTTTAAAGAGCGATCGTTTCGCTTGATAAGACCCTTATTTATCGTCTGGAATCGTTTAAAGCCCTTTCAACAGTTTGCAATTTGCACTGAAACTGTCTTTTGGACCTTGAACCGTTTGGTTCCCATTGAAGTCCATTATATGGAGAAAAATCCTGGAATGTTTATCACACACTTAATTTCTTTTTGACTGAAGAAAGAATGACATGGATATCTAGGATGGCATGGGGGTGAGTAAGTAGTTTTTTTTTGTTTTTTTTAAAGTGAACTACCCCTTTAAGTGAAAATATTCATAATAGTGAGACATGAAGCTGCAATTACAAGACAAGTCACACGTGTTACTATTAAAATTACTGTTACGACCTGTTACTGGTGTCGATCAATCAGCAAAAACGATACATCAGTCGACCTCTAGTGATGACGCAGCAGTTTTTAAAGCCATTTGATGTTGTAACCCCCGACATTTTCACAGTGAGCAGTGGGGTTTTGAATAAACTACTAAAATAAGCTGCCCCATGGGGACATCTACTACATTCCACCCTCAAATTATACTAAACTCAAAGGTTATACTCATGAGGTTTCTGGGAGTGTTGGCACATGTGACAGTGGGTGGTCCGTCTCTATGACGTATCCTCCAGAATATAGAAGATGAGCTCTAGCTGGCAGGCGGCGAGACCCTGGTACTGAGAGTTACTCTGCACCACGGACATTAATGATTGGTTAAGACAGTCCTGGTACGGAGCTGGAAGGCGTTGACCGTTACCGCCTGCCAAAAACTCCATCTGAAAGATTAAAGAAGAAGAAAAAAATGAAGATAATATAGATTAAGAGCCCCATATATCTAATCAAATACAGCACTATTAAAATAAAGTAGAACACTGGGGAGAATGTCAGATACGTAACACTCACATGCTACACTCCTGACCTGCCCTTACATAATACTGAACTACAGTAATTAAAACAGCTCAAGTGTACAGTTGAATCTATGATTAAATTTCAGATTGAAAAAAAATAGTTCTAAGTATGCGTAAAGGAGTAATAAAAACGGTAGTCAACTAGCAGACTTGGAAAAGTCAATAGATGAAATACAGTATATGAAAAGAGAAAAGTAGTTCTTTTGAAGAATGAAGGCAGAAATTTTGTAAATATAAATGATTAATTATCAACAATAACTACATTTATTTAGTGTAAATTGTTCCATTTTGATTTAATATGACTTTTTTAACAATAAATACAGACTAATTTCTTGAGATGGCGTGTGTATGTCAAGCCAGTTCGTATTTCCGTTTTTGGCGTGCTATCAACACGCATAATCGCTTTTTTAGCGTGTTTATCAACGCTGATGACTTAACGTTATTACTGTATATATAAATATATGACCTACCCCAACCCTGTCCCTAAACCTACCTGTCACTGGGGTTAATAACATTTATGAGTCTTCCCCTACCATCCTAGGATTTTGCTTCGTTTCGCTCGTACGTTTAACGGCGTGTACATACACGCGGAATCACTTGGACATTTAACGGCGTAGACATACACGCAAAAGATGACGGTTCGTTTCGGCATGGACATACACGCAGATAGCTCAAAATGCATATACAGTAGATAACACATATGTTTACGCAAAGTCATGATGCCATGCTGCTAAATAAATAAATTGTTATTGTTGACATATATCGGTTTATCTCTGTGTTTAATAAAATACCTCGATGGAGGGGGGGCATCACAGCTGTGGACATAATTATCGCCATCTCACCTTCTGGCCATCCAGAATTACTCTCAATGCCAGTTTGGTCATGCCGTCCTCCTTCAGCAAACAGAGAGACTGGCACAGCGCCAAGCAGAACGCCCGTGCAAGACGTTCTGATAGACGGTTGTGGCTGGTGTGGTTATTAAGACCATTTGGATGTTGGTCTTTCAGCAAGTAAAACACCTGTGACATCAAAACATGAATTAACCAATTGTTGAAAGTGGCTCTCAGAAGCTTTTTTTTGTTAGGAAGATTTTGTTTATATATAATGGTTATATTCAGGGCTTGATGTGAACTGTCTTGCTCACGGTCACTGTGGCTAGTGGTTTTCCGAAGTCACTACCCACTCAGCATTTTCACATGGCCACAATTTTGACAGACACCATAGAGAAAAAACGCCATATAATATTTTAAGTATTAATCATAATTTGGCAGCAGGCATATTAAACTGCTGTCACTTTAAGACCTGGATCCATTATACTGTTTATTTAGACAATATAGTGCCTTTATGAACACTCAACTTTGGGTGTGAGCACAAAATCTGCGGGAAGGAGTAAAATTATGTTTAATACGCACAATCCCACGGCGAAATTCAAAATTCATCCGGAGCAAATGAGAAAAGGCTAAAGAGAACTCGCTTTCGGAGAGATTAGAGAGCACGCAGCTGGTATTGTAGTATCGCTATGCATCATAAAAAAATATATTTTTAAAAACACTAGATTGCAAAGTCTATTACTTCAGAATGGAGGTTTATGGGGTCCACCTCAAAGAGCATGCACAGAGAAGTCCAAATTAAACTTGATTTAATGACTCGTAAATGTAAGAACACACTGATGGCCTAAGACGCTAAACACGCGGTTTCTGTGAGAAAACAAACAGTATTTATATCGTTTTTACCTCTTGTAACAACAGCCACGTCCAAGTGATCTGAAGGCATGGGGCGCTTTGGTCTGCGCATGCGCCAGAAAAGCGCCGGAAGTGATCTCTAGCGTGGTTGCGAGAAAGAAAAAAAAATCAACGTTGTCTGTTGATATATCGAAATCGACTTCCATTGCAATTTCCTGTATATCTAAATATGTTTAGATCTTCACAGTGAAGGATAACACTTCTGAAATCTCGGTGTAAACAATGAGTGACGGACACGTGCGAGAGATCACTTCCTGGGCTTTCCGGCGCATGCGCAGACTGAAGCGCCCTCGCCCTCAGATCACTTGGACGTGGCTGTGGTTACAAGAGGTATAACGATAAAAATACTGTTCGTTTTCTCACACAAACCCCTCGTTTCATGTCTTAGGCCATCAATGTGTACTTACATTTACGAGTCATTAAATCATGTTTAATTTTGACTTCTCTGTGCATGCTCTATGAGGTGGACCCCATAGACCTCCATTATATGACTGACAGACAAGAACGGTTTGACCTAAAAATATCAAAATTGAAAATACTGTGGGAACAAAGACACCTACATCTTGGATGCCCTTGAGGTAAGCTAAAACATATCAAAAATTAATTTCAAAGTGAACTATCCCTTTAAGAAAAAGCAAACAAACAAACAAATACATAAAAACAAAATATTATCCATTTCGGATTTTTATTAGTCACAGTATAAAATGGGTCTTTAAACATGAATATACGTATATAGCTGGCATGTTTTAGGAGGAGGGTCCTTTTCCTTTCTAAATTGTTATGTCATTTTTAAGGCCCTGATATACTCGCAGCGAAGTCCTTTTCATTTTTCGTTTAGGGGTAAAGAGAAGTTTGAAAAACCATTGTAGCAATATACTGTTAGCGAACATCCCGTTGCCGGCTGCGTTGATGTGAGTGGTGTTGAGGTAAATACGTAAATATATGCTGCTCTCTTTCTTCTCAACAATAAAATAAACACGCAACAAAAATGACAGCGATGAGAAAACAGCACTTGAGAAAGCATCAGGTAATAGCGATTTGGATGTTTGCACGAGCACTGCAATTCAACACGTCAGCCAAGTAGTCGCATCACGTATACAGCACTTCATTCAATAGAATGCTTTAAACCAAACAGCTTTACAGTATTAAACATCAATTTCTACATAAAAAGCAGCTCTCCAGTTTTTGTTTCCACTCGCGGACATCTGACCGACAGACTCAGCAGAGGAAATATGAAACAGAAGATTTCCATGTGAAAAAGGGCAGAGCGCACATACCCATTACGTACTCGCCACAGACTAATGGCAGCTTCGGCAAGCTGTTTCAAACTCCCAAAACAAACTCTAAACGATCTTTGTTTTGGCTTGATTTTGTACAAAATGATGTCACACCAGTTTGTTCTTCGATTTCGCTTGTGCCTTTGAGGTGTTTTGAGCCTGGTCCTGTCAACACTGCATTGGCTCCCTGTTAAACATCGCATACATTTTAAAATCTTGCTAATAACTAAATGTTTTAGTTCCCCACTATTGAGTGATCTCTTAAAAGGATACTCCACTTATTTTTTTGGAAATAGGCTCATTTTACAACTCCCCCAGAGTTAAACGGTTGAGTTTTACCATTTTCGAATCCATTCAGCCAAAGAATATCAGTAACCAGCAGTGTTGGGTAAGTTACTCTAAAAAAGTAATTAATTACTAGTTACTAATTACCTCTTCAACAATGTAATTAGATTACTGCACAAATTACTCTCTCTAAAAATTATTTAATTACTTTGAATTACTAATTACTTTCACTATCCCATTTCAATCTCAACCAGCTGAATAATACAAGGACATGAATCTGTTTTAATTATTTCAAATAAATACTATAAAATTGCATGAATTATCCTTAAACAGACCAAGGTGAAGAAGGTTACATTATAAAAATATACTTTTTAACATCAGACAATACATTTTGGTGTTAAACCCACTATTGTTTTATATCTGATCTCATGACATTTCACACTTTTTTCATTCATATTTTACAACAATTCATACGAATTTGTACGAGTGCGGTCGTGCGATTTAGACACTTCATAAAATGTATACGAATCGCTGTGAGATCGGATTGATCCATACACAGTATTTACCTCAATTACATCAGAAGTAACTGTAATTAAATTACAGATAAATGAAGAGTAATCCCTTCCTTTACATTTTCAAGGGAAAAGTAATTAAATTACAGTAATTAGTTACACCCAACACTGGTAACCAGACAGTTTCTGGTCCCATTGACTTCCATAGTATATGTTTTTTCCTACTATGGAAGTCAGTGGGACCAGAAACTGTCTGGTTACTGATATTCTTCGGCTGAATGGATTCGAAAATGGTAAAACTCAACTGTTTAACTCTGGGGGAGTTGTAAAATGAACCTATTTCCAAAAAAAAGTGGAGTATCCCTTTAACAATGACAAAAGTCCTTCACGTCTATTGTTATCTATCTCAAAATTACGGTACAAAAAATTACAATAATCAACCGCAGGCGGTAAATCCTTTTCCTAATTAGCACCAAAACTCTGGAACGGTCTTCCTAACATTGTTCGGGAAGCAGACACACTCTGTCAGCATACGATAATGTTACTGAAGGAACGCATGAACAGAAACGTTAAAATACTTATTCTGCTTGGAGCGAACCAACGGATTTTTCCGCCCTTTTTCAAGCCCAAACACAAGCATGTTCAGTGTTTACCTCTGTCCAGCGTATGAGCTTCCCATTGGCTTTGTATTCTAAGCGCTGATGGGTCTTGATGTTTGTGAGAGATTCCATAGACTTCCCATCAATGGGGCTGATAATGCTGTGAGATACAGGACAGAATGAGTGGCAACTAGCACAGATTTAAACTTATTCTACTATATATGTATGTTTACCCTTTATTAAAGCGCGGCTCTTCATCCTGCCACTGAATGTGCACATTTTCCTGCCTCTCTGCAGGGTGGAGTTTTCCACAGGTGACTGTGAAGTCTCTCATGTCCCGTAGAGATCGGCGCAACTCGCCCATGGTCTCCATGGTAACCTGCACCATCAAGCCATCTGGAATGATAAGCAGACACATGGGATATAGCCGAATAGATAGAATGTAGATAGAAAGGCATTAATATTAAATAAATGTTGAAGTTAGAAACAAGAAACAATAGGAATGAACAAATCTTTAACCTTCTACAATGCTGGACTTGGCCAAGTACCCTGATGAAGGTTTGAGCGCTCCACTGAACACAAAAAAACACGAGCCGGTGACTGAAAGGTGAACAGAAACAAAGATTTGAAATTCAATGAGAGCAATCCAGTCAACACAGAATACAACAAACGATTGAACACTTGCAAATGAACGCACTTTCCAAGACTGTCAGACAGCGCCCTCAAGTGAGCGTTTAAGGAAAGACGCTATTGTATCAGTCCTTTCATGTGTACATTCACAAACGTGTTCTCTTTTGTTTGAGTCATATATTAAATAATGTGATAATATTAAATCATTTATAAAGTAATTTTTACTCTACATTTTAGTGAATGTATGAAGTTCACATGGGTGTCCTAGCTGATTAACCACAATATGTCAACCGTATTGCCCTATTCAGACGGTTTCGAACTGGGGAAGTAAGGTCATTTCTGATTTCCCTGCCAAACATCAATCCAAAATCATTTTATAAATGCTTTTTGACCACTGCCAAGTACCAGCATTTCAAATATGGAGCCTTTCATTATTCTGGATACTTTTGAAATGGTCCATTATTATAGTATTCAATAAATATTTACTATATTATATACTTTTCTATACATTTCAAATCATTTTACTAGTCGAACAAATACCTAGGTCAAATGTATGACATGACATCCATAATTAAAATAAAAACAGAGCATGTCAATTTTCCCATTTTAAAATAGGATATTTAAATAGTTTACTATTAATAAATGAAATATAAATGTATTAATTGTCTAAGCAATAACGTTTTGTTTACAGCTGACAATCATGTGACTGACCAAGTGAGCAGTGCATTCCCGGGTTCGTAGGATGATATTTGCTCCTTCACGAGAACAAACCGCCATCTGAAGATGCGTTCACGCCATGATGTGATTACCATAATCACAAGATTCCCGTCACGTCCTCGTAGAAACCGTAATTACAAGTTGATGACAATCAATTATCGTCTGAATAGGGCTTAAGAACATGTTCCACAAAGTCTGTAAAACCAGTACCATTTCAACCTTAATTTTGTGAAATGATTTGCTTGAAAAATATGTTTGCGCTACCTTTCTTGAAAATAAAACATTTGTTCAGCTGTAGGTGCAAAAAGTGTCCAGATAATTTTAGGGGCTCATGAACATTTAAAAAGAGCTAACAGACATTCCAGTAGTGTCTAAGCTCACGCCGGTGTTGGGATGTTCTCGCTCACCTCTGCGGGGTTGGCTGTGAATGCTGATGGCCTGGGTCTGGTACTGTCCATCTGCCGTCTGCACGCAAATGAGATGAGAGTCGGCCTGCTCATTAAAGCAGGCGCCCAGGGCCAGCACTCTTTCATTAGACTTATTCAGAGCCTTCAGCAGCTAAAACACCAGCAGAAACAGAGACAAGACACATTATACTGAGAAATGAAGGAATTATTACCTTAGGTTTGCCTATATCTATATGATGATCCTTCTGATACTCCAATACATTCTGACATTAAGAAAACCATCTACTGACTTTGGACATGATACCATGGTACTCCTGATGCATTTTCTATTTTGAGCAGTTCATAGTTATGGTACCTCTGGATGACGTGTTTTAGGGATTCTTATGCAGGTGCTTCTAGCCTCTAGATCGACCACGAGCCCCGGCACCGTCGGCAGCGTGTAACGGTAAAAACGGAAATCCTTTGAAAGTCAAAATTGGATAAAAAAGACATTTAAAAACATCATACAAACTACATACGCTGTATGACAGGATATAATAAATGAAACAGGTCATTAGTCTCACCACTAAGAGCCTCATGATACTGTTGTTGACGGGTCCGAAGAGAGGCTCTCTGAAGCGCACACTGAACAAGGGACAGGGATAAACTACGGGACAGCAGAACAAACAAACGACTCAGTGTACTTCCAGAGGTCAGGGGTCATTAAAATGATGCATACAGAGATTACGACTGATATTAGAGATTTTAAGAACGTATGCTGCATCTCAATTAGCATTTTATCCAAATAATAAATAGCTAGTTATGTAAATAGTTAACCCAAATCATATTTAAAAATAAGTCTAAGATTCACCAAGGCTTCATTTATTTGATCCAAAATACAATAAAACATTAAAATTGCTAAATATTATTACAATTTAAAATAGCTGTTTTCTATTTTGTTACATTTTTAAATGTATTTTTCCTGTGATGGAAAAGAAATCTTATGAATCATTATAAATGTCTTTCATGCAGGCCCGGCTCCAGATATGAGCTGAAAGGTGCAAGTGATATTCCAGGTGGGCGGGTCAGGAGGGGGATGGGTAATACTTTATTCTCACATGTCTGTTGATAAAATTTTATTATCAGGCATTTAGGGCAATTTTTAGGGTGTTTGTTTGTTGTTGTGTTTTCTGCATTTTTTTATATTTTTGTACATATTTTGGAACTATATATAATTTAGGGCTGTGCAAAAATTTATTGCGATTAATCGCATCCAAAATAAAAGTCTGTGTTTACTGTTTACATAATATATTTGTGTGTGCTGTATATAATTATTTTATATAAATAAATACCTATGCATGCATGTATATATTTAATAATTATTTGCGCTTAAATTCTGTATATATATATATATATATATACAAAATCTATTTTATATAAATATAAATATTTTATATATGAATAACACATTTTCTTAAATATATACATGCATGCATAGGTATTTATTTATACAAAATAATTATATACAGCGTATATATTTGTATAATATATTGTATAATATTATACAATATATTTGTATAATATATTGTATAATATTATACATAATTATATACAAAATAATTATATACACATGCATGTATATATTTAAGAATTATTTGCGCTTAAATTCTGTATATATATATATAAATACAAAATCTATATTATATAAATATTTTATATATGAATAACACATTTTCTTAAATATATACATGCATGTGTGTGTATTTATATATACAAAATAATTATATACAGCACACAAATATGTATATATATATATATATATATATATACACACACACACACAGTATATATATATATATACTGTATATATACTGTGTGTATATATATACTGTATATGTGCATTTGTGATATTTTTTTGACCTCTTAACAGATCTTGTATCATCAATTAAGTAACTATAGATTTGATAAAAAGGAGCAGATCTTTTAAAATAACTATTTACATCAACTAAAACAAACTCGTTACTAACTTAAAATGCTAACATGTTCTTCATTTTTAAAATTTTTGTATATATATTTTGGAACCATTTAGTAACTATATATATATATATACTGTATATATATAGATAGATATATAGATAGATATAGGTAAACATGTTTATTTTTACAGTCTCTCTTTTTGCATTTGTAATATTTTTTGAGCCCTTAACAGATCTTGTATCAATTAAGTAACTATAGATTTGATAAAAAGGGCATGTATTTTAAAATAACTATTTACATCAACTAAAACAAACTTGTTTTTTACTATTTAGTAACTTTATATTATATATTTACAATTTAGTAACTTAATACTAACTTTATATTGTCGCTAAAAATTCAGCTTCAAAACTTCTTTCAGAAACATATCACATAAAACAAACACAAACATATAACAATCTCACCCACAGAAATGTTCTGTGTATCTACTATATCTACTAAATAATGTATCTTATTTTGAGACGGTTTTCTTACATCTGTACTCCGCTCCTAAACGCAGCATGAGTCTCAGTGGAAAGGCTTTGGCCCATGGAGCCTCGGCACGGAGCATGAGGAGTCCGAACAGGAAGGGCGGCACAGGTAGCGGCAGGCCCTCCAGAGACTGGAATGTCGGACGCACGTAAAGAAAGCCTGCATGCTCGTTATTACCCAGAAACCCCCGGGATACCAAAGAGTGACTTAGGTGATTCAGAAGCTTTCCTGCTGCTTGGAGAAACAGCAAAATCAAGATTTATCAAGTCATTGCTAATGTTTGATCAAAGTTTAATGGTCAAGTAACATCTGATACAAGTGTCACCTGTCTGGGCATCCCAGTAGATCTGAATGAAATGATTGAAAATATCCGTTGGGAATCTTTTCTCCTCAGGCAAACACTGCAGTAAAATGACCACTTCCGGCTGTCCAACAGCATGCATACCCTTCGACATAACACACCAGCACCGGCGGTTCACATCTACAGGAACACAAAATCACCACAGCGATCCACATGAATACACCAGCATATTGTTATCAGATGTAACATCCTGAGAACACACACACACACACACACACGTGATGGTTTGGAAATGACTGACTTCACAGACTAGAACAGCTTCAATCACGATATAATATACCATACCGATTCGCACAGGTTCCACATGTCAAATCACCAAAAGCAAAAGTGAGACATTGGGAACATACAGCTGACAATCTTCACCACGGCCAGCAGGTTGGCGTTGAGCACAAAGACCAGAGGCTCTGCAAGACCCCTCTCCAACTCCTCTAAGAGTGACGACTCCGTTCTCTTCTCCTCCAGGGTATAGTCTGCAGAGAAAACACAAGCACTAGCCTCCAAAACCTCAAAATCACTTACAAACCTTCAATCAAATACTTTAGAAGTTTCACAAGTAAGCTTATGGTCCCACTGTATGCATTCATTATATGGAAAATCATTCTGTTCCACAGAAGAAAGTAATGAATGACGGATTGGGAAATGTAGGGCTGCTCTATACTAAAGTTTTCTAGTCAACTAGTAGTCGTTCATTTAAGAGATTAGTTAACTAATAGCATGTGTATAGCATATACTGCCCCATAAATGAACTAAATTCGCTCAAGCGCACACATAAAGCTTGCCACAGCACACAGGCAAAAGTATTAATTATGAATGTGTCGTGAAAAAAAAGCAAAGAGACTGTCTAAATGTTTTAATTTATAGATTATGCTTTCAGATGCTGACTCAACATACGTTGTGGTCGCAGTATTTGCACGTTTCATACAGATTACATAATCTGAGAATATTTGTTTTCCACTATTTTGGTTGACAATCACTCGACATTTCAAGCTTTCTATAGAAATATTTCTCATGTCTGTGAGGCAAGTATAGACTGAGTTTGTTTTTTGACACGCTCAAGTTCATAGACACTGAGATGGCAGAAAGCGCATCCTGTTTGATTTATTTTACAAAGACACAGCGTTTTCTTGTTATTGTGAGTTTAAACAAATAAAAGTGCACCCTTTAATAGTTTCGTATCATGAATTACCAAAAATGTAGTATTTTAAGCTGTTTCTTCTGTTAGATCTTAATGCTTCAATCAATACCATATGTCACAGCATATTATTTAACAGACTGCATGTCTGTCAGGAAGTGCCTTTATCTCAGGGTGTCCCTCAGGGGTCAGTTTTGGGTCCTGTTTTAGGAGAATTAAAACGAATATGATCTCCATCCACTCCGGCATATTAGTCCACACCAGCGTATTTTTATCTGCGTATTAGACGTCTCATTGACTTCCATAGTAGGGCAAAAAATATACTATGGAAGTCAATGGGACCAAAAACGGTCTGGTTACTGATATTCTTCTAAATATCAGAAAATCGGCTGAATGGATTCGAAAATGGTAAAACCCATCTGTTTAACTCTGGGCGAGTTGTAAAATGAGCCTATTTCCAAAAAAAAGTGGAGAAAATACAAAAAAATACATACCTCCTTTGACCCCTGTTGATGTCAGAATAGGGGGAAGGTCCTTTGGTGGAGTGGGTTTTGTGGCGTTGCTATTAAGATCTCTGACTTCATCTCCTGCCCTAATGTCAGTCACTTCCTACAGCAAATAAATAAATATGTGCATAAAATAACTGCACATAAAACTATACATAAAATAACTATACATAACTATACATAAAATAACTGTGCCATGAGGTAGAAAACCTTTTTTCTAAAGCTTATTTCAAGATATATATAAAAAACAGAAAATCCTCTATATTATGTCCTTATAAAGAGTATTGGGTTTAACTCATTACTAAGTAATTACTTACAGTAATTGAATTAATTTCCCCTTGAAAAAGCAAAAAAAATAAAAAACGTATTATATATTTTTATTATTTTAATAAAATAATCGCAACATAATTATTATAAGAGTGTTTTTAAAGTGACATGAAGGTTTAAAGTGGATGAAGGTATTAAATTAAAAATAAGAATAAAATAAAAATCTAAATAGGGTCTTTATAAGAGTGTTTTGAACAAGTTACTTAAAAAATTCAAATGAATAAAAAAAATTTAAAAAAGCAGAAAGATCTCCCTTCATACCGCCTGAGCGAGCTCAGTCCTCTGTGTGTGAGACACACTCCTGTGAATGGGAGAGCTGTTGGCACTTCTACTCTCAGACTGGGGAAGGAGATTATCTGCAAACCAAACCTTCTTTTGGTCCTTGCGAAGAGTCCCTGGTAAAATGACATCATTATAACACTGTAACTAATGTGTAATAACAGTACATAAGTAGCGGAAACCATCACGACACTCACGGCTAATCAAAGTTGAATGACATGTGACACAGACTCGCCCCTCTTTCCCACCGAGATGAGTCAGCTTAAATCTCAGGTCACAGCAAACCACACAAAAAACCTGCAAACCAAACAGACTTTTCATGTTTTGAAGGTAAACAACAATTTGGTCACACAGAATCGCATGCATCTCTCACCTTCCCACATGCTCTGCAGTGATGACGTCTTTTGGTGAAGGAGAATTTGGATCCACATTTCATGCACGCTGGTGCTTGAGAATCAGGGACCCACTGAGGGGCCGTAGTGCCCAGGGAGCTGCAGCGCTGCACAGGCAGAGCACCTAGAGAACCCTTCCTCCCCCCAGAGTCAGCGTTCTTAGAGACGCTCTTATGCTCCTGGCATGACTCCAGCGTCGAGTCTGAGGGCTCCGCGCTCTCAGTGTCCTCCACAGGGGACGATGGGAGTCCCAGCACAGCCTCCAGGGGCTCCTGCTCATTCTCTGCCCGCTCTTTCTCTTCAATGACAGAGTCCTCTTTCAGACCAGGCCTCAGCTTGCGCTCGTCTAGCAGAGACTCGCTGGAGTCCTTGAGGGTGGAGTACCCGAATCGCCTCTCGCCCCACACAGACAGAGTGGCGGTCACTGCTTGCCTCATAGTCTCAGTGAAGGGAGCTCAACGCGAGAGGGTTGCTGATCATATTTTAGCCCACCCCGCGCTGTGTTTTATCCTCAGACCATCACGACATGGTCTGCACAAAGTCCTGCCAAAAGATGAGTCAGATGTATTAATTGCCAGCAGGTCGGTGGATTTGTCAGGGACTGCTTGGCCTCTATTTTATCATTTTTTATATTACAAGTTTTTTTTTATTATTATCAACATGATCAAAACGTTGCTAAAATTCCAGTTATACACAATCTGCATGCCAATATATTTTTAAAGCAAGTAAAAGGCCTTTTAGTATATTAGTAAAAATGTTCACTTTCAGGTCGTGGTACACACGTTTTTTGCTGTGAATTCATTTCTTTTTATTTTTTATAAATTAAACATAAGAATAACTTTTATATTGTTGGAAATATATATATATATATATATATATATATAGTGTGTGTATTTTAAGCCCCCACAATAAAAACGACAGATCTTTGATCATAAAAATAAGCATTTAAATATCTTACGAATATTATTTTTGCTCAGTTCGGCCTCTGAATAAAATTAAGGTGTTTTTTCCTTCCTGGCTGAGAGCTTTATAAGAGTTTTTTTTTTAATTATTATAAAATTACTAAAAATTATATTATTATTTTTTAAAGCTAAAAAAGGTCAGTCTCCCTTTATCTATATGATAAACTTTATTATGTACAGCATACTTTCAATATATATACATCAATAGTATATGAGCCATAAAAACCAAATGTATAAAATATGATACTCAATAAAAAAAGAAATCCTTTTATTTTATTTGAAAAATTTAAGAGTTTGCCTAAAGGTTCAATAAACTCTTCCATTTAAAAACAAAGATTTTTCTGATTTCTCTTTTTGATTTATTTCATATGCCAGGCTTTACGTGGTTAAAAGGTAAAAAGGGAATGACTTATTGTATTAAAGTCATGATGAAACATAAATAGCAATCTTTTCTTTCATATATACTCTGTAAAAAAAATATTTTCAAGATTTGTTATCACAACATTTTTTCTTTTAAATCAACTTAAATACTTTATTTAGTTGAGATAACTTATTATTTTGAGTTTCTGATGATTAACTCAATCTCCTTCATTGTATTAACTCACTTTTTCCAGTTCAATCAACTTAAAAATTTAACCCAACCAGGTTACTTCATTTATTAAGTTAAACCAACAATATTTTTTTTACTGCGTAGTGTCGTACAGCCAAATGGAATATTTATTAGTTTTTTTTAACTGCTTTTCCTTTTTAGTACACAGAGGAAAAATAACAAAATACAAAATAGAAAAAAAGTAAAATAAAAATAACAAAAAAAAAAAATAACAACGGTTAGATGAGGTCCTGAGTGTAACAGATTATTGAGAGAGAGAGAGAAAAAAAAAATAATTAGAGTGGGGATTTTCATTAGTTCTTGATTGGATTTTGAGATGTTGGTGTTGCACTCAAAAAGTGGAGGGGCAGGATTTAGGGGACTAAAGGATTGAAGGAGTCCTGCATACTTAATTGCATATTTAATTGTGTTCAAATGCATCATTATGATGAATATGTATCATGCATACACCAGAGAGAACTCTGTTGTTTTCACCAGACGATCCAGTTGCAAATTTTGATTAGACTTTACATGGTCACTTTTCTCTTTTAAGATAAAACATATGGATTGGTGAATTGTTTACAATTAGGTCTATAATTCAGACACAGGTCCTGCATCACTATTTCACAGTGAGGATTTGCTGAGTGGGCAGAATGACTCGTCTGGGTGTATGCAGATATATTCACAATGATGCGTTTAAACACTCAATCCAAACACTAACACATTTCAATGTATATTCAATAAAAAAAATTCACAGGCATAAAACAACCACTGCAAAAAAAAGTGCCGAGCAGCATTGCTTTCTGATTTAGAGTCAGTTTGTCGCCTCATCCCTAACTATAACCTACTACCAGCAACGCGACGCGACACACACTAGAACGCGTCGCGCGCTTGCAGTTATGTGACCGTTCAAGTCTGCACGTCGCACTAAAGTGTCAAAACCTTCTAGTTCTGTAATCTCAGTCTAATGTGAAATTGTTTTCCAAAAAGTTATCGTAGCGTCCGTTACCGCAGGAATGGCAGAACGTTTGGTAATTCTTTTAGCACTGCATTGCAGACAAGCCGCCGCAACCTCCACACAAGATCTTGACGCCTTTGACATGGACACACACGATGCAGTGGTGGCTGCGATTCAGAATCTCTTCTGGTTAGCAAACGCATGTGTTCATGGCTGATGCACATCACTCTCGTCTGTGTCTGCTGGTGAGTGACTACAGCAATGCGACACAGTAACGTTACCGTCAACAAGAGCCAATTACCACATCCTCACTTTACAGTAACAAGCTCAGAGAGAAACCCCGAAAACTCCCTCAGGAATTATAGAGATGATGTAGCGCTCGATACTGACACATCTAAAGAATAAATTAAACGAATGTATGCAAGTATTTACCAGGATCTCTGCATCCCATCGCCACCTCAGTGTGCTGTTGACTTGTGCTCGCCATCAGAGGTCTGCCTGCCTGCGCGAGAGGCTAGCGGCGCTCGAGATGAACGCGCGTTCACAGGGGCGTCGCTATCACTTGAGAAGTCAAACTCGTCAGTGTGATCTCCTCTTTTTATTAATTATTAATATTGCCCTACTCTTGCTTTACTTGGGTAGACCTATATGATGGCAGCTAGGTCTCATTATGGCAGATATATATTCATTTTATTTGTACAATATTACCAACCTTAAAGGTGCAGTCACATTGGCGAAATGTCGCAGGTAAAAGTCACAGAAAAGAAAAGTCACTTTCAAACCAGCGTTTTGCTGGTACCGAATTTTTTATTTTTTTTACCGATTGCGTGAATTTCTTTTGGATTTCTGGATGCGCCTGCGCAAATTCGCCGAATATCGGTGAATGTGAACATATTTCACCATTCGTGTTCTGAAAAATTGCAAATTAATAAACAAATAATAAATCCTCTAAGGAAACAATGTTTTTGGTTAACTGCCTTAACGCTTTAGATGCATCTCTTATTCTCAAATGAATTCCAAATTAGAAAATGTCCTGTGTAAAGTGTGGTTATTTACAGTCAGTCAGCGAACTTTTGTGGGTGAAAAATCCAGTCATTTCAATAGAAATCCAAGCAATCTGGAATTTCTCAAGAGGGCGAAAGATTTCCAGATTTTGCACCGGGTTGGTCACACAACTTCCAAGAGAAAATTGCTTGGTTTCAAAGTGACTTCTGTAATCTTTAAACTGGACAATGACCTATTTTTCCTATACACTACAGTATCACAGGAAGTAGCAGCTGTGGTGTGAACATCATTTGACACTTTAACCATCTTTATTTTCAGTTTAGGACATTGCAAATAAATCTTATATATTTGCAGTTTCCACTTGACTGTCATGCTGTAATCAGAAAAAAAAAATCATTAAATATTATTAAAGGTTCTCTAAGCGATCTGGGGCCAAAACATTTTTTGTCACATACATCAAACGTCTCCTCACTATCGGCTAGCTGCCTGTCCCCTAAACACACTGTAAAAAAAACGCGGTCTCTGTAGACACCACAGGCTCCACAAACGGCAACAAAAACAATCATGTCTCACCCGGACCACGAAACCTAACAAACAGTGTTCCAGCCAATCACTGGCAAGAAGTATTTGAGGGTGGGTCTGGGGGGTTTGTGCACATGCACATGAAGGGTGTGTGTGTGTGAAGGAGAGCGAAGCATCAGAGGGAAGTTTGAAAAATGGCCGACATACGACTCTTTGGTCGTTCTGAAGAACAAATTAAAAAGAAGGAGGAGTCGGATAAAGAACGTGCGAAATTCCGAATTTACATCGGTAGCAAAGCTTTTGAACGATGGCGAGAACTCCGGCGGCAGAAGGGCTTCCAGTCCGACATTCAGGTTGCTCTGTTTTTGTTTTGGACAGGTGGGTAACGTTAAATTGTTTTTTTTCTTCTAAATTGACGCTTATGTTCGCCAAACCCATACAAGGATATAATTAGCTAGGATGCACGTTCACAATTATTTCAGGAAGCACGGAAGGGAGGGGGAGGAGATGAGATGCGGAGGGTCTAGCTAGCCTCCGATTTGTTTGAAAATATTCCGAACGACAACACCCAGGATCGCTTAGAGAAACTTTAATCGTACAACACCATTTTGGCCAAAAGTAGTAGCGATAGTGTTTTGGCATAACCTTCAAAGGGGGGGGAAAAATTATACTGTCAAATCTCTTCAAGCTTCTATAAGAAAACCAATGCACCATATAGAAAAGGTTTATGAGTATAATTTTTATTTAATTAACAGAAAAAAAAAAATAATTAAGACAACCGTCAAAACTAGCATTTCAACTAGCATTGTGGTTAAGATTTATAACCATGTAACCATCAGTATAAATGCAGGTGAAAGGTCAGGGATGGATCTGGAACAGCCAATTCATGATATAAAAGTCTCTGGTTTCACTGGATAGTGTTGAAATGATATGTCTGTCACTGTAATTTAAAAATACTGCAGGAGACTTTGTCCTGAACAGGAGTTACCGAAGGTCCAACGATCAGTTTGCCTCATTCTTTGAAGCCTCGTCGAAGTTCTCTACAAGATCTGCGAAGAGAGAATAGAACGATTCAAACCGGCATCTTACCATTTCCCGCTTGATCAAAAGAAACACTTTAAAACTTCATACCTGGGACATCATCATCTTCTTCATCGATATCTTCTGCTTTCGGAGCTTTGTTGTCGAGAACTTGAAATGAAACGACAACGTCAGTGTCTACACTAAACTGTAAATTCACCCATATTTCAAAAAGCACCGCTTTACTCACCCTGTCTGGGGAACTGCTCGGCGAGTTTGCGCAGACTCGTGAGACTGTCAGCGCCGAGCTGGCTGAGGATTCCTGGGAGCATTTCCGTGAGCTGTTTGGTCTCTGCGTGGCCCGTGATGGCGAACGTATTGGCAGACAGAGACGCCTGCACTTTGGGGTTATTGAAGTGAATGACTGTGCCATCATCTTTAATCATATTCACCTGTAAAAACAAGATCAAATTCTCAATGTTCTCTGAACGGGACTGAATGAGAAAAGAAATTTGAGAGCTGCTGCTTTACCTCTTCAATGCCAGCTATATTATTGACAGCAAGCTTTTTTAATGAACTCTGGAGTTTCTTGTCATCAGCTGTTGCTGTTCTGTGCACCACCTTCTTCTTCCTGCGTGCGGTGCCCTATAGGAAACAAATCAGGACTGAGTAAAGACAGGAAAATAAAAACAAGAACACTTATAAATGTCCAAAATCATTAATGTTCAGGTTACATTGACAATACGTCTTACCTTGCCCCCTATCCGGACCTGGGCTTGAAGTTTAGCCAATTTCTCTTGGTTCATACTGACTTCTGTAACAAACAAAAGCTTCATTTTTTTTATTTAAACTTTCATACAAGTTAGAACTCCCCACCCACAATAACCCCTTCCGCCAAATAATTAACCATACATACAAATGTTAATTTAACAATAACAACAGTTGTAATAATAAATAAATTCAAAAATAAACTTTAAAGGGTTAGTTCACCCAAAAATGAAAATTAAGTCATTAATTACTCACCCCCATGCTGTACCAACCCCGTAAGACCTTCGTTCGTCTTCGGAACACAAATGAAGATATTTTTGATTAAATTTGAGAGCTGTATAACTACCACAGCAAGAAAATAAATAGTCGAATAAACTCGTTATTTTTGTTTGTTTTTTCGCACAAAAAGTATTCGCGTCGCTTGATAAACATATAGTTGAGCCATGGTAGTCACTTGGGATATTTAAACATTTTCTTCATTGACTTTCTGGGCCGTCAAGAGGCAGTCCCTTAGGAGCCAATGTGGTAGTTATACAGCTCTCAAATTTAATCAAAAATATCTTCATTTGTGTTCCGAAGACGAACGAAGGTCTTACGGGGTTGGTACAGCATGGGGGTGAGTAATTAATGACTTAATTTTCATTTTTGGGTGAACTAACCCTTTAAGACAAGTCACACATTTACAAATGAACATAATCTCCCCCCAAAAATAATACAAATCAAATCTTTGACATTCATGGTCTGTACATATAATATCAAGCACAACTAGGGATGCACCGAAATGAAAATTCTTGACCGAAGCCAAATAATAATGAAACTGTATAATGAAAATGTGGACCCGACTCTTGGGGAAATGAGTCGCGAGTACAATTTAGCCAGTGCTTGACGTGACTTAATATTGACTGTTTTTGAGTGGGGAATTTATTCTTTTTTTCTCCTACTGACTATGTGAACTATTTCGGCTGTGGATTACTGTGGGTATTGCTGATGGACAATTTTTGAATTGTTTTTTGTTTCTTTTTGCATCTTTCAAATCAATTTTGGAACACTTGAAAGTGGGATCTGGTGAATCCATATTTGAATGCAATTCCATATTTGAAAAACTCCCTGCGGATTGGCCTCTTGTTTTCACGAAAACCCCGTTTTTATCACAGAAAACGATTATTTCTAAAAACTCCGGCCAAAGTGGAGATTTTTGAAAACGTCGGTTATGTGTTGTTGTGTGAACTGGGAGAAACGGCGTTTTAGGTTCTCTCTCGTCGATTCTGATTGGCTTGCATGGCTTTATCCTTAACCCCCCTACACTGGCGCCAATAGGTTTGGCATAGTTATAATGGCGCTCGATGTATTTATGCGGGAGTGTGAACGATGTTATTTTTGAAAACGGAGGGGGAGAAAATATTCATTTTGCTAAATACCCGGCTTTGTGCAAACGTGGCCTAAGAGTGATTATTATGGGTATTATTGTATTGATTATTGGTGTAAAATCTTTCTCATTAAGTGACGGTTTTGTGAAAGAACAAAGCAGACTGCACAAGATCTTCGTACGTTTTTCTAAACTAAACTTAATTAATGACAGAAATCCTGTCTGGCACCTCAGCATATAAAAAAAAAAACCCAAACAAAGGGAGTGGGAAAACGTTACAACTTGGCCGAGGGCCGAATACCGAACATGGTGTTTCACAATTTTTTTCCATTTTTGACCATAGCATAAATTAAAAAGTAAAAATGTGTTGTTTTTTTTAACTATTTTGACTTGCTTTTCAGATAAATAAAAAAAAAAAAAAATCAAATTTAAAAATATGACACTGAAACACTGAACATTTTTTAAGATTTTAGCAGATATACAAACAAAGCACAATAAGTTCTATAAATTTGCTAAATAAATTAATAAAAATGTATTTGGCCATCTTTGAAGCCCCCCTTCTTGAATAGCCTATGTTAGTCCTATAACTCACTGCTGAAAGTATTTGTAACTCAACAAAAAGTGCATTGAAATGTGCAAAAAATGTGTATGAACCCACAACAAATGACTGTGGATGAGCTGGGATCATGCAGAGCCATTTGAAGCTCTTCAATGCCCTTTGAAAGTGCATTGATTTGGACTTCAACAATTTGGTTACCGTTGAAGTCCATTGTGTGGAGAACTATCCTGAAATGTTTTCCTCAAAAAAATTAAATTATTTTTCCCTGAAGAAAGAAAGACATTTAACATCTTGTATGGCATAGAGGTGAGTAAATTATCAGGAAACTTTCATTTTGAGGTGAACTAGTCCTTTAAGGTGAAAACTGGAAAGTCTTCATCTTCTCAAAATATACAATCATGGGTTTCCAAGTCATATAAAAGTTTTGGACAGATCCCATTAATTTTTTTTCTTTTTTCAAATTTGAGACACAAGGTCACGTAACCAAATTGAAGGTTTAGATGGGTTTGTTGACTTCCAACAAACAGATGCTTCATTATTAAATCAAATCAAATAAGATCCATCCACCTTTCGCTTTAAATAAAAAATCTATCGTCCACTTACCCTCACATCACTGGATATTTACCAAAATGTCTAGTTGTAAGTTATACAACTAAAATACAAGGTGATTTGTTAAGCATCAATTTTGCCCAAAAAATAAATAAATGACTGCATATTTAGTTTAGTTTGGATTTCCCCTCTAGGCTAAATGGCCATCATCACTAGACCCCCACCAAAGAAACATATATAAATATATATTTTTACAAATAAATAGATTTCAGCACATTTAATCATGTTTAAAAACACTCAAAAACATGTGCGGAATGAAGCTTGCAAAACGTTTGCCTGTAAAACTTTTACGTTTTCATGGAAAGCGTTCATGATCCACCAAGAAATGTGTGCAATTCACATTAACAAAGAATGCGTTCGCTAATAAAGAAGCTTGCATAGATAAGTTTAGCGAGTTAAGGCACAATTTCTTTAGGGGAATGCAATACATCTGGGAGCAAACTAAATTTCTTAGGACAGGGGAGCACAAACATTTGCGAAAAAAGACAACAACATTTGACTATAATTTCCCCATCTTATATTCTTTTTAAACTAAGGCACATGATAATTTTATAAAGCGCATTAAAAATGGCACATCATAAAAGTTTATACTCATGGAAATTTCCATGACTTAAGATATTAAGTTAAATAACTTATTTAAAATGAATGAATGGAAACTCCAAGACGATTACTGACTTAATCATAATATGATAAATATTCATATATAAATATTTACACACAAATGCATTTTTAAACACACATGTGTGTGTGTGTGTGTGTGTGTGTGTGCGCGTATATATATATATATATATATATATAATTTCATTATCTAAAAGATAGCTTACACTTAATATAATTAATTAGTAAGTTACTTGTATACAACATTTTACAACTGGCACGCAACACAAAAGATAAACTCCGTAACTAAGTACACAAACACACAATATATTGTGAAACTTCTCTTCCTTTCAGAGTTGCAGAGTCAACTGTCCTTACAGAGAGAACTGCTGCCGATAAGCCTGTCAGGAAGCTACAAAGCCCTTAGTTGAAATGGGACAATTACGGCATGAGACAGGGCATCGCGTTTAAAAACGCTTTACTCGTCAGTTTGAGGAATATTCCAGGCTTCTCTATCTTTAATATTGTCTCTGTCCCTAACACATGACGTGATGGCATACGCAGTGATGGAGAATAAAGACAAAACCTGACGATGCATAATCTGAGTGAGTACACCACTCCACCGTAACACACATTCACACACATCTCACACGGCAATGAGCGACTTTAACACATATAACGCTAACAGCGAAGACATAGTGGTTGTAATATATTTGAAGTAAACACAGAACAGGGTTCATTACTGACCTGATAAACTCAGCTGCTCAGAGAAGCATGCGCTGAATGAGCAGGGCGGAAGTGGTCAGACTAATGAAGACGTCACGTTGTTTTTGTTGTTGTAATGGCGAACAGCGGTGATGCTGCCGCCTACTGGCTCGGGCTTAAATAAAGGAAGCGTGAAGCTAAACACATGCATGGACTTGTTGAATATAAATGTAGACATCTGCGGAAAATTTTATTAAAAAAAATAATAATATTAAGTATACATGCTGGAGTGTGCTTTAGGGAAGACCGGGGATGAAAGGAACACCCTTTGTTTCAGCATTGGTAACTCAGTGGCTGTTTGTGCTAGATCTCTAAAGATTAATACACAGCCTACATTTGCCTACAAATTCAGTTGCAACACTAGCTGGGGATAGATGCATCAATGAGAACCATTTTGCTGAAATAAGATTCCCACAATCAAAGTTGTTTTAAGAACAAATAATAATCTGTTTTGAATAAAGCAAAACGATTTAAAATAACAAAAAAATATTGTATTTCTTTAAGGACTGTACATTTACCACAAACCAATTGCTAGGTGAGTGTTTGTCTGTATTCTTGTCACATAGGCCTAACAGTCACTATTAGCCATGTTGCCATCCACCTATTTTATGTGAATTTGTGGATATCACATAAAAACGATGGATGGAAACACCCTAGAAACGTTTTTTGTATGTTTTTTTTCTGATATGACATGCGTATGATCCCACAAATCCCCCAATGTAAAAAAAACTCATATGGGGATGTAATTTATATTTGGAATCATCATAAGGGGTTGGTTGTATTTTTGAATGAATTGTTAGGCCTATATAACTGCCCTCACCCCTAGCAGTCATAACTTAGCTTACTGTTTTAGCATGTGTTTAAAGTTATCATGAATGCAAAGCATCAAATTAAACTATATAAACGTCTACTTTAGATTCTGCAAGTCAAATAACTGTATCTGACCCCATGTTACACTCCCCAGTCTCCCCCTATTCCTTGACTAAAAATGACCAAAAGAAATGTTCAAACAATAAAGTACACAATTTAATATATTTTGTATAATTTAACATTTTTTCTAACAGTTAGGAAAAGATAACCCAATAATAAATGCATACAGTATATTCTGTTATTCCGCTTTTACATGAGACAGAGCAATTTTTATAATAATTTACCAAACGGTACACATAAGCATTATAGGTCCTAAATATGGTAGTGGTGTCTATGTAATTTATGACATATCTTTTAGATATTTGACACAGATTGATACAGCTCTAGTCATGTAAACATTTACAGCAGCCAAGCAAAATGTTCACCTTTTAAATCAAGACAATTTCATAAAAAAATGCTAAAATCCATAGATATCATAAAATACAAACATCACGATGACATAAACCCACTGTATCTTAATATGTAAATTACATAACACATTATACAACATTTTTGAAAAAAAATTGCAGCATAAACAAAACAAGGCACAAGCTACATTAATTATATGCTGTAAATGAGAGACAAACGAAAACAGCACTGATACAACTGATTTAACCTTTTTTTTTTTTCATGACGTTGACACAACACATAAAACCAAAGTAGACCTAATGACCAAAGTAGACCAAATGCTGTCCATTTGAACAAATGTCTTAAGTTGAAGCTTCTTTTTGGTTCCTATTTGATCTTTTCTGGCACATTGTAATTCTCTGGGATTGACCTCAGACTGAACTTTTAAAAGAATGCAAATTTCCTCTACAAGAGACATCGCATGGATCTGAGAAACGGTCTTTTCCGCTGTAATAATCCAATATCTGTGAATGGAGGTCTCGTATCCCCTATTGCGGCTCAGGGCGGGTGAGCTGAATGAATGGCAGTGTCTGGTGGAAAAGGTCCATCCAGGCAGATGAAGTCTGGTCTGCTGACCACTGAGCTCCTGACCTCTGTGGTGGAACACTCCCGAGTGATGCCCTGCCACTGGAGTTTCATTTTCAAGTGAGGACTGCAAAACCTCAATGCCACCAGAAAAAGTCTCTTCAAAACAGCTTTGCGCAGGAGGATGTACACCCATGGGTCGAGGATCTGGTTCCATGTTGCCATGCGTACAACCAGCAGCATATGCATGTAAGATGCCTGATCCTCACCGTAATCCTTTAGGCTGAAGATGATGGCTGTTATCTGGGGATTCAATCATAAAAGCATTCGTCACTAAAATGATACGTCTACTCCACACAGAAATAAAAGATTTCTTGAATATGCTCAACCAATTTTATGCATTTACTTCATATAAATTCACATATATATTTGAAATAAAATAACATGTATTGAAAATAAAATGTTATTAAATCATTTATCTATTGAAGATAAGATTTATTTATATTCAATACATATACATTTTTATATAATTAATAATACATTAATATACAGTATATATATATATATATATATATATATATATTAGGGTTGTCAAACGATTAATCACGATTAATCGCATCCAAAATAAAAGTTTGTGTTTACATTACATAATATATGTGGGTGCACTGTGTATAATTATTATATATATATATAAATACACACACACACACACACACATGCTTGTATATATTTAAGAAACATTTTCATGTATATACTGTGTATAGATTTATATATAATTTATATTATATAATAATATAAATATTGTAACATGTACCACATATATTATGTAAACACAAACTTTTATTTTGGATGCGATTAATTGCGATGAATCGTTTGACAGCCCAACGATTATATATAATCGATTATATATAATTATATATATAACGATTAATGTATATATATATAGGTTAAAATATACTAAATATAACAGTATATATTTATATATTTAATAATTTTATATTTTTGTTCAATAAATATTTATTATTTTATTTATAATATAATATATCATATAATTTATATTATATAAAAATATAAATATTATATAAATAATATTTTTTTCTTATATATATATATATGTAAACCACATATATTATGTAACATATACAACATATATTATGTAAACACAAACTTTTATTTTGGATGTGATTAATCGCGCCCAACAATGACAGTCCAACGATCAATCGATTATATATAATTATATATATAACGATTAATATATATATATATATATATATATATATAGGCTAAAATATAAAATATATGAAATTAAACAGTATATATTTATATATTTAATAATTTAATATTTTTTTTCAATAAATATTTATTATTTTATAATTTTATATATATGTTTTAAAATATAAAACCCCACAAATTATAAATTGTAATTCTTACTTTTTCCAGTAAATAATATTACTATAAATAATTAGATCATTTTATTTATATATTATTTTTTGTAATTAAAATTATAATAAAACATAATATCATAATTAATGATTATAATATTCTAATAATAATAATAGTTTTAGTGAATTATCCCACAAATTCAGTATCTGAACAGAGAACACAGAACAATTATTTATTAATTTTGTTACTTAGCAATAACACAGTTTTTATTAGCAATTTAGCAGCCAGTGTGAGAAATGTGAGTCATCATCTCACCAAAATTGGCCCCCAGCACACACAGGAAACCAGCATGATTGCTAAAAGCTGGCAGACCATCTCAGAATGGTGTGATGTGTTACGACAATGGCGATGATAATCACGGTCAAGTTGTACCCTACTTCGCAGGAGAGTGAAGAAAGTCATGGTATTGCACACTAGTGAGAGGAGGAGAGCCAGCAAACCCAGCGCAGAGAACAATATGGGCAGAAGGACATCCACCCAGTCACGCGGGCCCTGCAGGCGGAAGAAGCACCAGCTTCGTGAACGCTGCATCTCGTACGACCGCTGGAACAGGATGGGCAGCAGGGCCACCAGCAGACCCAGGAGCCAGGTCAGACCCAGCAGACTCTTGACATGATGGGACCCCAGCGCCGTGGTGTGGAAGAGAGGACGGGTCACTCCGATACAGCGCTCCACTGCCATCAAGCTCCCGAGCAGCAGGGGAGTCAAGCCGAAGAACGTCATGCAAACTCCAAAGAAGTCACACAGAGACTTGTGAGGGTCAAATGTCTCCCAGTCTTTCTGCGAGGCGTAAACGTAGAGAGCCAAAGAGCCATTGATCAAGTGTCCCATGAAGTCAGTCACCACCAGACCGCTAGCAAACAGGAGGAAGGCTGCTTTAGACTTGAACCTGAACCTGCGGTATGCTTTGATCAGGATAAAGAGAGCCAGCGTGTTGGAGACGATGCCCACCGTCATTGAGATGGCAGTCGAGGTCACGGACCCTACTCTTTTGGTACAGCTCCCGTTACACACATCATCACTTGACACCAAACATCCAGCTTTAGCTGACCCATTATAAGACATGATCTGCACTTCACACTGCAAACAAAGTATTCAAGTCAGTTCATTTATATGAAACAAGGTCAAGACTCATTTACTGTCATTCAGAAACCCAAACGTGCAGTGCAATTATAATACCTTCATTTTGGTCCCAGAGATCCCAAAATCAACACTAAACAAAATATGAGGAAATTTTTTATATATATACTAGCATAACAGCACATTTGTGAACATTTTAAGCTATACATTTGATCTAATTTAGGATTAATCTGTTGTTAAAAAAAAAAAACCTAGTATATAAAATATGTATCTATCTATCTATCAATTTGTCTCTTGACTTTTGTACAACATTTAGTCAACTATAATTCATTGTTGTTACATGTGCAGTTTCCTGTTTAGCCATATTGAGAAATAAAATTATCTCCTAAATATGATTAACGCAGCCAGAATACAAAATAGCATTAGCTCATTCCAACGCGTTAAATAACTTGTTTAATTCTTCTAAAACAATTATCATGAATAACATAAGACTTGAGTTCAGATATCCAATAAATTGTATTGTCATAATTTGGAGCGCACAAATGTTTAAATGCTTCATGTTTCCAAATCTTTCAGTTTTACTCACCATAATCTGTTAATCAAACGAGTCAGTCTCAGCAGTCTCTCTCAGTGTGAGTAACGGCTGCTGGGCAAATCCACTGACAGTGAAATATCAGACTGATGCGCGCACTCTGTTCACCACAGTTAACTGGCCATCGACTTCCCCATCACGCATCAGTCGGCTCGAGGTGTGGTTTGCTCAAAATTTCTTCAATAGACAGTCCTATGTTTTTTGGTCGATCGTTATAATATAATAAATCATTTCATCTGATTATATAATCCATTACTCTGACATATATTACAACAGTTTTATTCTCTCTACCCGGGGCCAGTAAGAGCGGAACACCCGCTGCGCGTGCCAAATAGTGCCATTACGCACAGGATGTGTCCTGCCTGCTTTTTCTTCTTCTAAAGATTATATAAATCCTATAACATTTAAGTGTTAATGGCTAAATTGCATTGTGCAAAATTCTATGTCGATATCATTATGACAGTTTTTATTTATTTAATGTTTACATGAGAAATACAATAGGTAATGGTTGATGGTTCAACGATGGTTGACGCACAGCTAGGTGAGTGAGGTACTTTACAACCATTAGTTAACATTGCATTAACTAAAACGAAGCAATATATTTGACCCCGCTTTGTAATAGGTGTCTTTACAAGCATTAAAATTAATCATTTTTATATAGAGAGCATATGTAATTATAATCAGCACTTGGATTTGGAAGCACATAGTGTGGTCATAATTTTATTATACATAATATATGAGAACACAAATGTGATTACAGTAATATGGGCTTAAATTAAATTAGAAAGAAAATACAACTCAACCTTTTACTTCAAAAGTAAAACATAAAATAAATGTGTTATATTTTATATGGTTTTTGTAAAATGCACAGCAGGAGATAGAGTTTACATTCTACAAAGGATTTGCATGAAGTACAGCATGAATTACATTTTTCAATTAGTGGGTCTGTTTATGTGTAGAGAGACTAAACTCCACCACTACTGTTCTTTTGAAGTGGTCAAACAGCAGTAAGTTAAATCTGAAACAGATGAGGAGGCTTATAAACCTCAAAAAAAAAAAAAAAAAAAAAAAGGTCACAAAATAACCATTTATGTCATTTATTGGCAGAGAGACAAACCCCATAAGGTCTTGCTCTGGGTCAAGTCCTCTAGGTTTTTTTAAAGGGTGCACAAATATTTCAAAATTTTCGTAATACTTCAATAAGGTCTCATTTGTTAACATTAATGCATTTCTAACACAAACTGATCTTCTTGCAGCATTTATTAACCTTTGTTTTAATAAAAATGCATATTCATGTTAGTTCACAGTGCATTAGGCATGTTAACAGATACAATTTTGATCTTAAAAATGTATTAATAAATGTTGATATTAAAATCTGCTATAGGATTAATAAATGCTGTAGATGTATTGTTCAGTGTTAGTTCATGTTAATACATGAAATCTTGTTGTCATGTGCTCTGTGTCTGTCCTTAGACTTTTATTAGGAACCAAAATGATCTTTGATTGGTTTATTAGCCTGTTTTGAGCTTCAAACAATACAGTAATGGGATGAATCCAGGATGTGGCAAATATAGTTATTCACTTTAGTTTAGCAATAGATGCTATTGCTAAATAGATAGCATCTATCTAGAATAATAGATGCTGAAACTTGCGTTTAAAGCTACACTGTGTGATTGTTACCCCCATCTAGTGGTGAAAATGAATATGACCATCCAGGGAATATTAGTTTCTGTTCGTTTTAACTCCTACGGTGGCTAATGTTGTCCAAGATTAACATGGCTTCCAGTTCGACCTTGTCCATGAGTGTTAACTCAAACGCAAACGCGAAAGGCGAAGCTTGAATTAACGGGTATGTCCCTCTTTGGCTAATGTACTTTCAAGATGGAGGGGCAACATGGCGACCGACATTAGAACCCCTTACCCGTATGTATTTCCGTATGGCATATTATACACTCACGAGAATACTTTATTACTTGAACGATGTAAATATAAATTAATGAGCACATATATTTTTAAAAGAACTAAGTGTTTTTAGCTAAGAATAAACTAAAAGAGTTACAAAGTGTAGCTTTAACAGATGTTGTAAATGAATGCTGTGCATATCAGTATCAGCATGTGCAATTTTTGTTCATTTGAAAAGAACCTACATGCATTTGGTGTTCCTAACACAGCTCTGATGCTGAGCTCTGATTCTCCAGAGCTGCTTTGTAGATGAATTGAACAAACTCATTCCATAATTGATTAACTTTACACAGTTATTGAAATGAAACAAAAACACACTGAACTGATTTCAACTAAATAATGACTGTTTACGTGTCATGGTGTTGCAGAAAAGCAGTGAGAGGCAGGATCTAATTGCAGGCATTAACAGTTTATTAAACTTTAACACACAAAACAACAAAAAATGCAATGTGAATGGACAATGAACAGAACAAACACAGGGTTTGGCAAACCATTTAACAAAACAAGCCACAGGTGTATAAAGGAGTAGTTCACTTTTGAAAAAACTTTTGCTGATAATTTTCTCACCCCCATGTCATCCAAGATGTCCATGTCATTCTTTCTTCAGTCGAAAACAAATTCACGTTTTTGATGAAAACATTCCAAGATTTTTCTTCATATAATGGACTTCAATGGGAACCAAACGGTTCAAGGTCCAAAAGACACTTTCAGTGCAAACTGTTCAAAGGGCTTTAAACGATTCCAAACGAAGAATAAGGGTCTTATCAAGCGAAACGATCAAAATGAACGAATCTTTCCCGAGTCAATTCGTTCGTTTCGTTCGTTGAATGAACCAAAATATTTGTTCATTTTGATGAACGAGTTCGAACAGGAGGGTCACAAACGTGCCTCAGAACAGAGCAAGGGGAGCATTTGAGCTTATAAAACTTAAACTTTGTTTTTTATTTATTAAATGGGTGATCGTTTCGCTTGATAAGACCCTTATTCATCGTCTGGAATCGTTTAAAGCCATTTGAACAGTTTGCACTGAAAGTGTCTTTTGGACCTTGAACCGTTTGGTTCCCACTGAAGTCCATTATATGGAGAAAAATGCTGGAATGTTTTCATCAAAAACCTTAATTTCTTTTTGACTGAAGAAAGAATGACATGGACATCTTGGATGACATGGGGATGAGTAAATTATCAGCAAAAGTTCTAAAAGTGAACTAATCATTTAATCAATGAAAGAGCATAGAAACAAACTCACAGTAAACTGAACAAAAACTTGTCAAACCCACCCAAAACAGAAACAGACACAGATTAACCGTAACATGTTCCTTCCCACCAACCCAAAAGGTATTGGAGACCAAGGTGGAGCCGCAGGGACGAGTGGCCGAGGCAATGCCAGGGTGGTGGAGGACAGAGGTGGAGCAGATGCACCCTAGAACTGGGATGGAGTCCGAAGGAAATGTGGAGCATAACGGAGCCTAAGGGGTGTAGGGACAAATCACAGACGAGACGAATGCTCGAAAGTCCATGGCCATGGCAAAGTGACGACTGACTAAGGTAAGTCGGAGGGATAAGGTACCTGGGGCGAATTGCATGGACTGCTAAACCTAGTCTTACAAGTTGGCCATCCAATGTTTTTCTTCAAAACTGTTCATAACTTTTTAAAGTTAGTTCCATAAAAACATACATTGGTCTAATTTGATACCGAACAGCAAGACTGATTACCCCAACTAACTCCTAGTTGGTAAAACCAGTTCTTAAGACACTGTCTTAACATAATGGCTATGTTTATGCAACTGGCCCCTGGTGGAGCCGACTTGTTGGGTTACTGTAATACTATACGCCTTATTCACGGCAGCGCCATCTTTTTTTTTTAGTGAGAATGAAAGCGAGGCTGTGAGGGATAGTCATGCATCTCTTCAATGGGCTGTACTTTTATTTAATGTGTTTTCGGATTGTTCTGCTCATGAAACACTGGAAAAATATCTTTCCATGAAATTTCAGTTGACAAAAAACTCCCGACACTGTAAGCTGTGGAAAATTGTAAGTAATCTAGCCGCTTTATTCAGCTTTTTACAGCGGATGCCATTGGAAACACGGTAAGTCTATCCCTCACAGCCTCACTTTCATACCTGTCATGGCGCTGCTCTGAATAAGGTCTATAGGGTTAATACTCCAAGGCTGAGTTGGCGAACTAACAGTCCAAGGAGCCTCGGAAAAAAAGAGCAGGCAGCATAAGAGGAGATCAATGGCTAATGAGAGGCAGTGAAGACAAGGCTGAAGGACTGGGTAGTGCATGCAGGGGCTTCATAAACGGCCTTCCTTGGCGATACTGGACACACATATTTCTCAGGAACAGCCCTTTTGTCTGTCGTGGAACAGGCAGAATTTTCAGGATTGTACTGTGGTCAGGAATCTGTTACACGTCAGAGTTGGTAGGAATGGGAGGCAGGGCAGGAACATCAAAGACTTCAATAACTAGCTGTTGGGCTACGAAACAGGCTCAGTGCAGGGCAACGAAACAGGGATAAGGCTCTCTTCATGATCCTCCAAGATTATTAAGGGTGCTAAGTTCTGTGAACTTACATCTACCTCAACGGAAGCATCAGTATACGGACATCATAAGTCTGCTCGGATCATTGGTTCAGAATGAATTCATTTGTCTGTTACTTCTTTGTACAGTAGCTAGGTGTCACTAGTGAGCAATGCTGAATGAAGCTTTGAGTAATGAACATTTGGGTGATAATGGGCTGCGAGGTCTCAGTGGTTCAGGAATACTCATTTTGTCATCACTACCTATGTTATTGTCTTTGTAATAGACTAGATGGTATAAATCCAAGAAGTCATGTGTGTGTCTCTTGGGGGAACGTTCCCCCTGCGAGAGAAAGTTGCCGCCTGATCCATTAGATCGTCCGTTCAGCTGTCACGGGCAGTACAGAAAAGAGGTAAGAAAGAGACAGGATCTAATCGCAGACAGTAACAGTTTTTTAAACTTAACCACTCAAACAAACAAACTCTGGGCAAAAACAGGAACAGAATAACTGAGAACAATGTGACATGAATGGACAATGAAGAGAACAAACACAGAGTTTGAATACACAAGGCAAACTAATCAATGAAACAAGTCACAGGTGTATAACTTAATCAATCAATGAAAACTGTACCACAGGACTGAATTTAGGCTATGTTTGCACGGAAACGATTCTGAAGAGAAAACGCAAAAGTGGCGTTGCGTCATCCCTTTTTGTTCTGCGTTTAGACGAGCGTTTTGTGTGGGAAATCTGCGTGCAAATGGTGACGCAAAAGTGTGTGGAATTC